AAATGAAACTTGAGGATAACCGACTTGAAGTATACAACCCCAACGCTGCACGAATAAAGAGCAATTGGGAGAGAATAGAGCCAAAAAATTGGGCATACAATCAAGTTTGCAGATAAAGCTTGGCTATTCGCGCACAAAAGACCTGGTTACTCGCGCAAACGTACTTTTGGCGCTTACGCAGACTAACGCGAGAGACGCGGTGTTCGACAAAAGGGCGCTACGAGTGAATGGCGTTTTGCGCGCCGACGAGACGTGTCCCGGAGCAGCGAAAAAAAGAATCGCAACGCACTTTTTCGTTTCGCGAAGGCATTAAAAAGCAGCGCGCACACACACACGTACGCGGACAGGAGGAGGCAAGTTCCGTCGAATGAACAAACGGGAGAGAGCGCACGTGGTCGCAGCCGGTTAACCCGAACCGAGGGGTTTTTAAAGTTTAAATGCCACGCGCTCGCGCGGGCTCGGCGTCTTTTTAAATTTGACGGGCCTATACCCCGACAATGGGACCTCGTCGCGACGAGGGATGCCCGAGAAAGAACAAAATCTAAGGGGCGAGTGAGTAAACGAGCGGGGAAAAAGAGCACGCCGAGAAGGGAGATAAGAGAAGACGAGTTCGGGATCCGGGAGAGAAGCGCGACGGCGAGGTTCCTTCGTCGAGAAAGGGTGTCCCAAATGGGGGAGCCTCTTCTTCTTCCAAGTCATTGGGCTCCCTTACTTTTTTTATGTTTCATCCTTCCAGCGGGAACGGCCTTTTTTATTATGTTATTTTCTATGTTAATCAAATGTTGTTCTGTTGGTTTATCGAATAAACGACTTTGGATAAAGCCTCGATACTTTTCTCGTGCATCTCAGTGTTATGAGCAGTTTTATGACTCGCATTTAATTATTGTATTGTCGAACATTTTTCTCAATAAGCTTACAGCCAATTAAAGATCAGGTTTAAATATACTGATAAAGTAAGTTTGATTAACCTGAGGTACTGAATTAAAAGCCAAGTACTGAATTAAAATTAATTTTCGACTAGCTTAAGATTAATATTGTTTTTATATTTAATTAAAATGAACTATCTATCGATGAAGGCCAGAAGTATAAAAATTTAGCCATAATTTTTTATAAACTGTCGTGAAGCCGACACGTGACGTTATACGATTAGTCTTTTTGGTGTTAAATTATTTCAAAGACTGACATTATATATTTAAATATTATTATGCAATTTTAATATTAGTTATATTGAAAGCGATTAAACAAAATTCAAATAATTAAAATATAATAGGATATAGATGGCAATGTTGCTGACGTTCGTTTGCAAAGAATTTTTGGTTAACAGAAGAAGATTGTGTTCCATGTTCTTTAAAAATGGATATGATTAATTGTGAAATTTGTGATCCATTTAGTGTTATAACAAATAGATTCACAAAGAAATTTTCTTTACGAATGTTAACATATAGCTGTAATTTTACAACAAATAGAGAGTATTTTTTATGCTTATAATTTTATTCTATTCGCTTAGATTTCCAACTAAATTAGTATTTGCAATGATCATTAAGAAAGCAAGAGATCAAACATTTGATTACGTATAAATAGATCTCGAAAGAGATATTTTTAATCTTAGGCAAGTTTACATTGCAATGTCGAGAGTACGATCATGGGATTCATGAAAATTATATCTCGAGAAAAACAATAAGAATAACATTGTTAACAATTGTGTTGGCAAAGAACTTTATGATTAGCTTTATAATAAGAAATAGTGATACAATGTAAAAGCATTTAATGCTGTACGAGTTCTTGTGAGATAAAAAATATCTATTATTTGCAACTGCGTATAATAAATAATTTAAATGAATTAGGCTTAAAGATGTTATTTGAAAAGGCTATCTGGTCCAACCTGCCGCGTGTTTCTTAGATTTTCAATATATATCAATGAGAAATCTATCTTGACTTAGCTATTATTCAAATAGGAATGATCACAATTCCTTTCGAAGGAATTTAATCTCTTTTTAACAAAACAACAGGGGACTAACAGCGGCACTAGAAATTAATCAAGCGTTATAATAGGTTGCTATTACATTTGAGATGCTTAATTAAGTATCAGTCTCACCGTCAGTGCTGTCATTTGTTAAAGAAGCATGATTTAGTTTGAAGGAAACTCCAATAAAATGGCATTGTGTGCATAGACGGGAATGCTGCAAAAAATAGACGATCAACGAAAATAGAGTAATTGACGCTAATACGCGCAATGATCCCGCATGGTAATTAGTAGCATCCCATGTGGTCGATGCGCCCACATCGTAGACGTAGGCGCGCGTAAAATCAAGAAAAAGCGCAGGCGAGCACTCAATCGTCAATCAGTGTGCGGCGGCGCGAAATAAATCTCTCCGTCTCCTTGACTAATTGAATTGGGCGACGCGACGATTGCATGCTTACGCGCCTGCACAACCTCGCGAGCAAGGGCGTGAGCGTGGCTCTCTGGTTTTTGGCAGAGTGCGAACAGCTGATTCCTCATAACGGTTGCAGCGAAGCAGGGGTAGGTCAGTGCCCCGGGAGGCCGATTCTCAACGTACCCTTTTGGCCGCGAAGCCGAAGCCCCCCGAAGATTCGGAGCGCGGCGGCGGCGGCGCGCGCGCGCGCGGGGAGACAAACAGCCAGGGCGCATAAGTAGGCACAGGGGCGCCACAAAGCCAGTCACCTAGCGCGAGGGGGCAGGTGAGCACCTGGTATACAAGCACTGGCCACCACCGCCAATGTGCGCTCTGCGTGCGTGTACGGCACGAGCTGCTTCTCTCTCTCTCTCTCTCTCTCTCTCTCTCTCTCTCTCTCTCTCTCTCTCTCGCTCTCGCTCTCTCTCTCTCTCGCTCTCTCTCTCTCTCTTTCTCTCCTCGCACCCTTCGACCTGCGATCGCATGCGCCTCCTATAGCATTGCCAAGAGTCGCTCGTCCTTTTATACCTGCGATTTACGCTTGCCACGCTTCATTCATTTCTACTCCCGTTGCTCGCTCCTGACTGTCCCGTTGCTCCCGTCTTCGACTGCAACTCATTACCACTGCTTTTTTTACCAGTGTAGACATGCACATTTATTATCCCGACGATTGATAACTTGTTAGTCCACGATTATTAATTGGCTACTTCCAAAACGAATATACTTCGAAGTCTGTAACGAGGGCACCAAGGTCTGCACTATATACGATCGGGAGCACGTACAGCATTTGTAGTCACGTTCTCTAAATAAAAGTTACCGCGAGCTCGAAATTTATCAAATTTTTTATCGATAATGCCAAGAAATCTTAGAACTCAGTTGCGGACCATTTATCATTGCGTATTTACATAATTTTACTCTATGTTTTTCATTGATCCTTGAATAATAAATGTTTAAACAAGAAAAAGTAGTTGTCTAATAATATTGCTTTCCACTATCTAACTGCAATAATAAATGTTGGAACAAAAGATATTTAGAAATAATAATAAAATATTGAGTGTAATTAAGTAATTAAACAATAACAGATAATTATTAAACAGAAACAAAAACTGCTCGATCGCATCAGTCAAGCAATCAGTCGACAAAGTTAATCGGTCACGTGCGCAGTCAAGCGAGGTGAGCAAGTCAGCATCATACACACCAAAATTAAAAAAAAAACGGACGACAGCTAAATTAATGACCTTCGCGCGCAAGCGAGAGAGATCGAGCGGACAACCGTCTCGCGTGAAACGGGCCAAGTTCAAGAGAGCCTCGGTGAGTTTTGAAGTCAAGGCCGGAGAAATCACTTGACTCTCGCGCAAGACGCTCTAATACGTAAGATAATATCGACCGCTCGTCGTGCTTGTCTTCATCGTTAGTTGCTTTTTGGCTCTTCGGCGTGCTTGAATGTACGCGATCGGCCACGAAGAGCTGCAGTTGGTTAGCAGGTGGATTTGCCACAGCGTTGACAATCGGCGGAGAATCGAATCGCGATGATAGCGATTGCTGTTTGCAGATTTTGAACGGCCACACGGCGGATCTTTACGATTGCAGAACCGTGAACAAATATACACGAAATCACGATAGACTAGCAAATTGTCGCTCTGAAAACATAAAATTACAAAATTTTTAGTACAACGTAAGAAAGACAGTTTTTGCACAGTCATCTCACGTTGACTGAATTGAACTGTAACACACATTTGTATCACGTAACAATATTGTTGATCGATTGGTTTGGCTGACGATGATATCAGCGAAAATCGTCGGTTACATCGATTAATATCGCATTTGCTGTTGGACGGAAAAACTTTTTCTCTGTCGTCATTTATGTCTGTCGTATGATACCTAAGTGAGTGAGTGAGAGAGAGAGAGAGAGAGAGAGAGAGAGAGAGAGAGAGAAAGAGAGAAAGAAAGAGAGAAACTGCCCTTATGGCTAGTGTCTATGTACATGGGGTTGGTAAAATACTCTACCATCTGCTCCGCTGCAAATATGTACCTATATCTCGGGGTCTTTTAATGCTCGTTTCTAGGCACGAGAAAACTGGCTATGTTATGTGCGCTTATCGGAATGGGTGTCCGTCAAACATTTCATATTCTTACAACATTTTTCAAGTTCTTTTTTACTATATCGGTGGCAAGTCGAATAAACAACGCTGAAAAATGAGCTAATTTCAACGTCGTTCTGGAAATTTATTTCATATAATCTGTTAGAGATACTGTGATATTTAATAATCGTAGCTGATGTTCTTTGGCATTCTTAAACGATATTTTTTTCTGCTTTGATGAAGTCAAACATTAATAAAATATTTAAATTCTATTTCATCTCGTGCTTAATTACGTGCTTAATATCTCTTGCTCCATTATGTTCATGCTTAACAGATAAGATTGCAGTACTTGTGCTTGTAATGAAGCTTTTTATATTTAAATCATCGCAACTTGATCATAAGTATTGTTGCGAGGAAAGCCTTCAATTTCCAAGACACCAATTTTTTAATCGAGACACATTGACAAATGAATAAAGTAGTAAAATATTACATGAAAAAAACTCACCGATGAAGCTGTTCGTAGCACGGACCGGTGTATCATTGGACGATAAGCTGTAACGGTCGAGATCTCGCGCGATGCTCGTGATGGGCGTGAGCGGTGGTTTTGGCTCTACCCGTGGTGTCTCATTATCCATCTCCTTTATCATCGACAATTTCTGTACGTTGCCGTTGCTCAAATTTAATCGGTAAGGCATTTTATCTGCTTGCGTTCGCTAATATTCGTAGAGAACGTTTTAATGCCTTGATTATATTTTAAAGTTGATCACTATGCGCACACTATGTGATAGCTTAATAAGGTAACTTAATAATTGAATAAATTACTCGTATTATGTGCTGTAAAGTCAGCGTCACGGTTCTTACTTCAACGTCCACTTGAAGCTTCGATAAAAGTCACTTTCTTTACTATAAACAGCAAAATACGATATTTCAAATATCTCATATACAAATCATGCGACTTTGTACATTTCAGTCTCGCAGATAATCGATCTTCCTGCAAAAGGAAAAAAATAAATGAACTATTAGAGGTTGGCATCATAATCGACATAACGCTAATAATTCACAAGCCTGAAGTTGAACGCGTATCATATAAATAGAACATCGCTCGAATTCACTATCAATCATTTTTCGATACAGCCCGATCGCGAGTTGAGCTGCGAAAAATCTGCATTGAGCGAATCTCATGTAACTGCTCGTGTAACTGAAACTGGAGTAGCCAAGAAATCGATACATCAAACTAAAACGCTTCTGTAGAGCTGAACGACAGCTGACCGCCGCGCGAGTGACGAGGTAAGCGCGCGCGGCGAGCTAGAGCGGAGAGCAAAATGTCAAACGGTCGATGAGAACACGTGTGCAGAGCGAAGCCAAGTCCCTAGACTCTCTGGCGCGATCGTGTTGCTATGCCAATATATATTTCGGATGAAGAGCGAGCACGCCAACCGTCGTCAGCAACGAGAGCGAGCGTGCCGATCGGCCAACTTGACCATAAGAAATAATAAAAGAGCAGTTTTTTTTCATAGCTTCGAAAGAAAGCTTTCGCCTGGAATACGTTCTCGGCTAGAATTCATTTTACACTTGGCTCGCGTCAATTGGTTCAGTTGAAGCGAATTGCAAAAACTACGCATTCTCTTTCGGCAACTTGATAGCATTTTTTTTTAACTTTCTGCATTGATATTTTTCTAAAACATTAAGAGCATTCGAAAGTTGGGATAGATCGGGAGCTCGCATAGAAAAAACGCTCGACGGGCGTCTGACATTCTGCTAGCTTTATGAATATGGACGATGTGGGGAAGAGAAGCGAGACGTAACTAACGTCTTTCATTCTCTCGCACTTGAAATAAGTACGCCAAGAAAATCCCACGATCGCACATGGCACACATTGAGTTACCCAAGTGGTTATAGCCTTTCATTGAAACGACATTATTACTCGTTTGAGAATTGCTCTTTCTTTTATTTTCCATTTCACGATTACTGGCGAATTTCAGGAAAAGATACGTCGTTCACTGAAACGATATCGCCTGCGAAAGCAAGTAAACCAAATAGATTTAATTTCATTCATGAATCCACGTGGCGATGTGTTTGTGTTTATGTCTTCGATGGAAGCAAAAGGAAATTATACATTACGAGCTCGTGATTTGGAATTCCACGAGCGCGAGAAAATTTATTCACACGAAGTCCAATTTATTCACAAAGCATGTATTTGTCGCGTAAGTTGCTCAAAATTTTGCAGGGCGATAATAAGCGAGACGACATCCGGCGAGCGTAGTATAGTTTGGCCAACGGTCGGCAGCGAATTCAATTCGCGAGAAGCGCGCATAATTAACAAGTGAACGATCAGACTGCGCCCGAGGAACACTACACCCTATCTCGTCCAATCTCGTGTAAAAAAAGGGACCATATCACGGGTGGTCCAGAAATTCGAGGCTCAAATTGTGCGGAAGTGAAAAATAATAATCGATGATGCTTATAGAACGTGATATTCAATAACGAAGTTTGCTTGTACTTTCGTTATTTATATTTAATCATATATGATCAATTAGATTTTAATAAAACGAGCTTGAACTGAGATTTTTCATTCGTACAAGATTATTGCAAAAAATTAAAAAACTGAATGGTCAAATATTCAATTTAATAAAAAAATTGAATATCATTTACTTTCACTCGTTGAACATCGATCTATTCGTACTATATTGAACACCCGGATCTTACATTTACCTGATGTCATATAACTATCCTGTTCGTTGCCAGATGCAACTTCCACATCAAAGCTATATAAAGTGATACCAGACTACAGGCTTCCTGAAAGTTAATTTTAATTTGTTATGAACAAATATTTCAATGTATAAATTTTTGCGATTGAATATTCGACACTAATAAAGCAGTGATGTAATCGAGAGAATACAAATATTAAAATTAATTTTTTTTTTTAATTCTTTCAACATTGATATATAAATTATAGTTGTTATTTAATGTGCATAATAGCTCACGGGCTTCCATGTATTAAATTAACAATAAAAGTAATCGCTACGGCCTTGAATGATATTCGACCATATCAAATTACATTTAAATTCCATCATATGTACAGAGTTCTTTAAATCACAATCATGCGTTATCAAAGATGTCAAATCGATCATGTTTTATCCTTAACTTTTACGTTTTCTTCATATAAAATACACAAACATATTGGTTAATTCTTTTTTATTACTATTATATAAAATTTAGAAATACGAAATATTCAAAGCACTCACTTTTCTTCCACAAACCAACAATTGTTTTTCTACGAAACTTTTTGGCGGGACGTTATAACTCATCCGTAAATATCAATTGAAAAGGTTATGTTTAATTGAATAATTTCGATAAAAGTATGCTTGTATATCACTCAGTCATAAATATTCTCAAAAGATTGAGAAAAAATAAACGAAACAAAACGTAATCACTGTGATAAGGACGAAAACACATAAGAGCTTAAAATCACTTTTGCCAATCGTACAGTTCGATTTTCACTGGAAAATTGATTCTGAAAAGTCGAGAATGTTTACGGTGTAATTTTCCACGGTATTATAAACAGCGACACGATGATTAGACAGTGAACTAAAAGAAAGCAAGAACGACGGATCAACGATGTAATATTAATAAGTTGTACTCGCGGAAAGCAAGAAACCACTGACCGTCGATACGCGGGTTCTAATTGGCAATCCCGCGCTATCTGCGCGCCTTTTTCTTAACGCCTGCGCGATGTTAATCAATTATTTATTAATTCCTACAATGAAATTTTTCCCCGAAAATTATTCTTTTACAGACGTTGCAGCATTTATAATAAAATTTTGCAATGTTCAGGAATTACATGAGGGAAAATATATTAAAAATATTATTCGATTTCAATGCCCGGAAATTCTTTTAAAGTTCGATATGTTCGAACTGTTATAACGGATTTTTTTTTAAATAAAAGAGAAAGGTAATTATGATCGTTTGTCGATATATATTTTTTCATTACTGAGTAGTAAACTATACTTTCAGATTCCTTCAGATTTATAGTAGAATATAGAAATTGGAAAATAAGCAAAAACGATTGAAATGAATACAAATAAACTTTTTATGAGTTCTAATTTTCCAAACAAATATCGTAAAATCAAAAAACTAGTGTATCAATAATATAAAGTTTAATTCCTCATATACTTTAACTAAATGATAAATACACTTGATTGACTTTCCTACTGTAATTTTAGATTAAATTATGAAAATTTTCAGCTAGAAAAATGCACAAGCATATTAATAATAATCTTTGTACTGTTAAAGAACCCTGAATAAGGAATTGCGATACTATGTATAAAAGTACTTATAATTGGAGATAATTGAAGCAATTTAATGCTTCATTATTTAAATTATTTCTAAAAATACATGTCTACACTTATACAATAAGTTAAGTGCAATGAAAGAGTCAACCTTAAACGTTCATATAATTTATTTTACATCTAATAATTATAAAAATTAATAATACTCATCATACAATCATATGAATTTAATATACTTTCACGGTTGTTTTTAAATAAAATAGAAAATATAAATACATCATAACAATTTCTTTTAGTCTTTTCCATGCCATGAAGTCACTATAATACAATTATATTAAGTTTTTTCTATTATGTAACCTAGAAACAAGAAAAAACTATATTAAGGCACTCACTGTTACATAGCTGCGCTTGTTTTAGTTTTGTGAACTGCCTTAATTTATTTAAATGAGCTATTAACACAACTCTAGCTACAAAAATTCTATAAAATTTGCTATATAATCTCACGCTTCATCATTTCTTAATGCTATTTAGTTGTCCCAAATACTTTATAATTGAGTTTGTCAAATAGTTTTCTTATCGTAATTTACAACTCGTTGAAATGGTCTAGTAGGCAAAGCATTACTTCGCAAAGAATTCATCAAACTCTTTGGCTTAGGCGGAAGAGGTGGTGGTTTGAGTAATTTCGTTGAAGAAATTTGCACGTGATCTTGACTGCTTATTTTGTTTGAGTCAAAATAATGAGATCCATTTTCAATTGTCTGGTCAGCATCAACTAAGGTTGTCTCTAAACTACTCGTATTATCATAACACAGATCGAGAATCGGTTTCTCTTCTTGAGAATCGTAAAATTTACTAAAATCACCGTGACTTGACGTAGAGCGCGATTTTCTTCGTTTCTTTTCGTCAATCATTTTTCCATTTTCTTTATTCTGAAATTTGTTATTGATGGATAAGTTTACTTTATATACATATTAATTGATGGAATCTCCTCAATATAGGTACTCACTTTCAAAAAGTCTGGAAGTTCAAAATTTATTTCTGTTCCTCTCTGGTCTTCTAATCTTAATTTTTGTGCACGTTTTATTCCATCATATATGTCTGAAAATAAATTATTCAAATTATTATATTTCAAACCATGAATAGCAGTAAATATAAGCAAATAATACCTTTACTATCCCCATCGAATCTACTAGGAAGTTGAAGTTTCACACCATTCTTCCATTTCGCTATTAACGGCGGTTGTGTTCGGTTAATTTCTTCGTTACCACAGTCTGAAGTGCTTCTCTCACTCGTATTACTATTTTTAGATTTCGACTAAATTGAAAAAGAATACAGTTTTGTTAGTGTACTTGTAAATATAATATGTTTACATAATGATCATTACAATTACCTTTTTTTTTAAATAGAGGGTTGAATCTCTTGAGAAAATTTTTCCAGATAAAATCGACGAACTTTCAGACTTTTCAGACTTTTGATCGTCAGACTACAAACATTATAATAAGTGAATAGTTGGTAATTAGATTATATAATTAAAAAAGTTATGACGTTATACCTTGCACGAGCCTTCTTCATCACGTTTAGTGGTAGATTTTCCTACACGAAGTTCCTGAAAGACCTTATTAGTTATTTCATCTAATGTAGGTTGACCTTTTGGCACTTCAGGTACTTTAAATAATGAAGCATCATCTACTATTTCTGGAACATCGTGGTTTTAAATACTGACTTCTTTTATGTTTTTACTGTCATAGATTAAAAATTAACAAGTACCTTTATTATTCGAAGTCAAAGAAAGTTTTGGAGGTGCACTTGATGCAGGAATGTCGATAGATATAGGATGCCCATTGTCCCAAATAGTGACAAGCTCGAGTTTAAAACCATACTTATTCAATAGTGGTTTTAATACTTCTTTCAACGTTTTTCCTTTATGAGCGACGACACTTATCACGCGGCGGGAAGGCAGATCGACTTTGATAACTTTTGTTGGCACAACTTCCACTTCTTGTGACGCTAATACTGAACTTGGATGTTTCAAGTTTATTAACTGTTAAATAGATAAAATATTATAATAGTTTATGTAATAGATGCTAGATTTATAAGGTGTCAACGATAATTGAAAGATACTTTAAATGATTATTTGCTAGATTTATGAATTTTGAAAAATTAAGTTAGAGTAAAAAGTGAAAATCACAGTATCTACAACACACAAAGTAGAAACTAAAGTAATTCCAATTCTCAAGTCCTATACAAAATAATCATAATAGCATGCAATCTTTGCTTAATAAAACAAAAATAAGAAAAATTATTACCATAAGATTTTAATAAAAGCCCGTTCACCCTAAGAAAAAGAGTAATATTAGTGATCGAGAGAAACAAACCTCGTCTGTAGTAAGCACTATGACGTCGTAGTTCGCGTAACGTAGAGCGCGTTTGTCAAGAAGACGGGTAAGGACGTCTCTGACACTATCCGAGTGATTGGTTGGTATAACAGTTGTCGAGCCGTCTGGAAGGATAACTCGACAGAGTCCAGTGCATTTAGACCCGAGAGCATCTCTATTGTCATTCGACTGTCCTTCGCAGGACGACTATAAAATTACCCATTGCTAACTTTACTTTTTATTCAACTTTCCAGTTTTCAGATAAACTTTGGTGATGAAACCAACGAATAGTTTGAACTTATTATCGCACGCTTTTTGATAGTTGACGCTTCAAAGTAAAAACCCAAATCATATAATTTTAAAACATACTTCATTGCAAATGGATAATACCGTAATCGACATTGGTATGAAAACATAGCATAAGATAAATGTCTTTTTACAAAGTCCGAGTTTAGATTTAAAAATTCCAACACAACAATCTACTTCACTCAGAAGGTAAACAAATAATACATCCTTTCCTCACCATAGCTTACTTTAATGACTATTGATCAATAGTTACTATAAAAATTATAGAACGCCTAACTCTTAATCAATTGAAAAACGTTTGGAAAAAATTGTCTGGTAGGGATTCTACTTACAGTAGCTATTGAAAAAACCAAGCAGAAAAAAAAGAAAAAACTAGCAATTTTAAAGATGAAACAATCTAAAATATTTACCGTTATGAATAATTTCACACACGCTTTCATATTAGTGGAAAAACAAAAGAGTACTAATAACTACTCATCATCACGCATTGGCATCTTACATGTTTCGTGAAAGACTGTCGCAACGCTAAATCCCAGGACGCAAGAGATGAACGACTGCTTGACACAGAAACATTGTCCTCGTCGTTATTGTTTCCTTCGTTGTCTCGCTGTATCGTCGAAAAGCTCTTGTAAATTTTCTCACCACGATTTGGAGTTTTGTTGTACTCTGATTCTCCTCGATCTTTCGATTTGGATCTGAAATTTATCACGAAAGTTAATTATTAATAATACTGTCATTAACCATGATGAGTAAGCCATTATATAATCACCTGTTTTTTCTGTGCCACGGAAGAATAGATTTCCTATTGCGATCTTCTACATCGGAACGACTTTTCCTGATTTTCAAACTCGGTGAGTTGGTTAAAATTAAATCACCATCTTCAGGAGTTGAGTCTTCTGGATCATGTCCATACTCCAAGCACCTTCGATAAATGTCCGATCGTAGAAATCTAGGATAACTGTCAAACTTCATTAGATTGAATACTTGTTTCTGGGCCTGTAACAAATCACGTAATGTTGGTGTAAGAAATATACGTCGCACTTGTTTATTGCATAAATTAAAAGAAAATGTGACGATGAATACCTGAGCGAATACATCGGTGGGAGCAGATTCCAGCAGTTCCATCGTAATTTGACCGGCAGCTTGGCTGTCGACGTTGACTGGTTCTGGAGCATTGTTTGATAAGTGCTTCTCATATATTTGCGCTGCCAGCTTTTTTCGAGCGCCTAAATCTTCAGTGTCAGAGTATCGCTCGCACGCTGCCCAGAAATAGATGTTCTCGTGGCTGATTTCTTTCTTCAAATATTTCTAAACAAACAGAAACGATCATACGTTATCGAAGCTGAGCAATCAGTTTCTTCAATAAAGTTGAAAAGTTGGCACGCTGAAAGCGCACAAGCAAGTTTACAATAATAATAGCATTAACATGCTAGCTATTAGTCTATTAGTCATCTATTTCCATTAACTAGCTTCCATTAGTTGGTCCATGCGAATGAAATCAAGAAGTTTTCATACTCACAGCGAATGTTTGCAAGCCTTTCGGATCTTCCAGCAGCTTTTCGAAGCTCAATGCCCATGTGTGTACTCCGCATCCTGTGGCTTTATCACACGACTCGTTGCTCCCATGCTGAAAGCAAAGATATTTTTCCTTAGTTATCTTCCACAAGAGGCAGCTCATTTCCAGGCTCGTCAAAATTCGACATTGTTCAGCGCTCCGAGTATTTCGATTATCGAATTGACACTGATAACTAAATATAAACTTAATACTCCGCGAACGAATGCGCCAATGGACTGCAAGCTGCTGCAGGCGAAGCACATGTTCGTTTGATGAGTGCCAAATGACAAATGTGTGCCTCTCTCTCTCCCTCTGTCGCTGCAGTGCAGTGTCGCGCTACACACGAGTGGGATAGATATTCCAAGCCGATGACGTTACTCATAAGATAAGGCAGACTTTCTCGTTCGCCACGAAACAAATAAAACGACTAAGCAACGATGCGACCCATTGTTTATTTTAAAACTCACGCGAGACAATGAAGCTTTGCTTTTTTTTTTTATAAAATACCTATTTTACACATACAAATGATGCATCCAGCGCACAAAACATGCGGATATCGTTTGAATTCGCGCACAATGAATCATTCTCGCGGCCGGTGAAAAAAAAATTGCCCAACGCGCGAACGTTCGGTGCTAGAAACTACGCGCACGTACAGCTTCGCCGAATGCATCCTAATGGAAAACCGCTAGAAGAGGGAGGAATTGGTTCGCTTGCCCACGAAAGCCGCCACTACTACATTGGCACGGAATTTAAGTACGGCACTGCGTCTGACGGGGCGTGCGGTTAACGCGTTACGCCGCGACGATTCCATTCATTCTCGTCACGGCCCGACAGCGGCCAGACATCAATATCATTGGCGCATTCGACTTGTTTCGGCGGACGATGAATATCGTGACTCGCGGCGATCGCGGTGATCGGTTATATTTCGCTACACCTTGGCGACTGAAGGCGCTTTCGATCTGCAAGAAGGAAAGTGTCATGATAAGCGATAGGTCAGCCGAGAGAGCCGAGGTAGGAAAGGTAAGACTTAAAAGGCCTGCGCTCCTCGGAAAGTAGAGCCTTCCACGGGAAATGAGACTGTATTGATAAACGAGGCACTCGGCGGAAGTGAATTCCGAGGATGCGAGCGCACACGCGTGCGATGAACTCGTTCGATAATTATCTGTCCGCTGAGGCCGATATAGCGCCCACTTGACGATCTGATAACAATGCTCTCACCGCGAATTGCCGCTTGAGTTTGCGCAGCGCAAGGCTGCCGCTGCGCGCCGTCGCAGGTCTCTCTTCATCGACGGCGCGCTATCGGCGCTAATAGCTCGCCGTGCGGAGGCCAGTAGGTCCGAAATTGAAGAGTTGCGACCGCCGGACTTTCTCCCGTGACTCAACGTGTCTGCGCGCGTTACGAGCGCGGCGCGACGTTGGCCAGAGTGTCGAAAGGACAACGTTCGACGCCGACGAAACGACCAACTAACGCTATGATTCGCGGGAAGGGATAAGTCACGCTCGCCGCGCCGCCGCCAGGATTGCGCAAGGCAGCGCGGGAGGAAGCGAGCGCGGTCAGCGCTGGACTTACCGTGGGAGCGCGGCTCGCTCGTAGCGACGAGGACTCGCGCCTTCTTCCGACGTCTCTTTCCTCGCGATACGCCCATTTGATCGTCTTCGAGGCGAGCCCGACCGACGCGGGCTGGGCGCGCTTTCGATCGTCGATCGCACAGCGCCGAGAGCGCGACTACGCCCGGGGAAATGAAATTTAGCGTCGACGCGACTGACGCATCGGCGCAGCCGACGACCTCGAGTTGACGGGCGGCGCACGTGGACCTCTGCTGGTGCGTGCGGGCCTGATTCTGTGCGCGCAGGTGCGACTGTGTGGTCGTTCGCGGCCGACCGAGGATCGAGCGGAAACAGTCGCGCTAATACTGAGGAGGCTAACCTCTTTGACGGGCGATTGAAGCCGGGAGGCCCCCTCCCCCCCTCTTCTCTGGCTCTCTCTCTCTCTCTCTCTCTCTACGGCCGTGCTGCAGTCTCTACTACTACCTTTTTTCCATTCTCTCTCCCTCTCTGCCCCTCTCTCTTTCGTTGTACGGTCCCGCTCTCGTTACTTTCCTTGCCCCCTCTATTGCATCCTCGGTGGCCGCGTTACTCGCGTGCAGCTCGCGCGCCCATGTAGATGCCATTTGCGAGGCCGAAGGCCCTATTCGCTGCTGCCCAGGCCTGCGCATATATAGTTCACCAGCACTCTTCTTTTACTCGATCTCCACGCACTCGTAGCGAGCGGCTCTCTGCTCTTGATGTACTTTCATTGTTTCATACGAATTCTCGCATGGTCGGAGAATGCTAACACTTTCCGACTTCAATGAGCTTGCCGAGCATTAATCGTGATACACTTTAATCGCCAGCAAAAATGCCTCTAGCATTGCTTAAATTAATATTCTGCTGATTACTGTAATCGAATCAATTGCCAAAAAGCTGATACCGAGAATTACAGCATTCAATTTTTGTTGGTCTTGGCTTTGAAAGGAAACATTGTGGTTATCAGCAAAAAAACATAGTTACTCTATCGAGCAGCTCGACACGAAAACGCTTACGCCTACAAATAGCATTCCAACTTATCCGCCTGATATAAAAACGGCAAGAGAGCAACTGCGCACCTCGAAATGAATAAGCCTACAACTAGCCAGTGGAAGACACGCAATCACTAATATTATTAGGAAGGACAGCCATCGCGCAGGTTTTATCTGAAAGTTATAAATAAAACACTCTGATTGCAACGCTTGGCGCGAGGCGTGCGAAGCTGCTTTGACATTGCAATTACGAGGACAATTAGGGGGGTAGCGTCAGGCAAACGCGGTCGCTTGATTGAAAGCTCGCGCTTGCGGCGCGTTCGACGATTCGGCCGCGCGCAAGTCGGAGCGATGCCGCGATCATTAATGAGGCGCAATCGACAAAAATTGACCATGACGATGAAAGCAGGAAAAGCCATTAAAGGTCCGCGTTAACGAGGATGCGCACTGTCGCGACGTGCAGCGGACGCTCGAAGACGAAACCCGAGCAGCCCGAGGATGCTCTCGAGCGACCGGAGTCGACTTGAGAGACGCTAAGCGCGCGCTGCCGCAGGAAGCGCGGACAAGCGCTCGGGGGAATCGGCACCGTAGTGCACGCTAGGGCGCCTTCCGCGGGTGTGTGTGTGTGTGTGTCTGTATGTGTGTTCGCGCGCGCGATTATCCTATACAGCCGTGCGTGGCAGGCTGCTGCTGTACGCCCGCCGAAGCCGAGAGTTCAACGACGGCCGATGCCGCACCGCGCGGCTAATGACAGTGTTGCTCTTTGCTGCGCGCCTCCTTCTCCTCTCCGCTTTGATTCAGCTAACGGACGCTGCCTGTATAACATTTTATTGCCCAAGCTCATTTACCGAGATTGCATCGGCTTGCTTAGTTTTCTTGTCTATTTCTTGGCCGACAAATTCGCTTGGGCAATCTCGGAGCAGATTTTCACTACCTGGTGTATCTCAAATTCGTCCCTATCGTATTGTAAATTATTTTCAATTGCGACGGGGCTTCACGTGCCAATCGAATAAATTCCAATTGCAATTACAAGTGGCAAATTGCCAAGGATTCCATCAAAGCTCATCGATGAGATATAGCTATCGTCCTATCCCGCGATGTTTACATTAATTGCCTTAAAAATGATTCACTCCTGCGAAACGTGTACGCGATATTTTTAGCTTAAATTGTAATTCACCGCGTCAACTGCAGACTTCTGTCCAATGTTCTGTGCTGAGCTGAGATTTCTCTTGATGATATGACTGACTTATTTACATTAATGAGTTGCACACTTGAATGAAGTTTAGCAATCTGAATGACGTGGACCAAGCAACAATTACGCATAATTTTGGGCTTTACTCTATGTTTTCACAGTTGGAAGACATTGGTAATTGTTGATGTCAACATTGATTGTTACCTGAACCACGAAACTATACTGCTTATTAAAACATATTGCAAACTTAACAATGTAGCACGTTGAATCGTTATAGGTAAAAAATTATGTTCCTGAGTAACTTACAAGTCTTCAGCTGTTAGAATTTAATTCAAAGTTAAGGTGGAGTCATAGCGTTCAAAACATTTGACAAAAAAGGTATCGCGACAAAGAAAAAATAACATTTGCAAGACAGCTGAGCAACACTTACGACACATCTATGAGAATGTTCTCGCTTGTACAGTTAGAAACGCCAGAAAAACAATGGAACTATTCGTGATAAAGCTGCGACGAAAAAAGCGATCTATAATTAATACGCGACAAATAACACACGCGTAATTGCGAAATTCACACCTTAATGGCAGAGTAAAAAGTGAGTTCGCAGGAACGTTAAATATAGCCTTGAAGCTGTTGGCATTTCACAGATTTTTTTGGTCCAATTATCGTTAATGATCAACGGCGCCTGCTTAGTAACAGTGCTTGTAATCAAGAAAATTCGAAACGTAACGGTACAGTGCTAGGTTGTACGTGCTCAATTTGAGGCTCAATTAAATCTTTAAAAGATAATCGTTGGAATTCAATTATAGACAGCTGGCTTGTATAATAAAAAAACCCTAGTGCAGCATTAGCTGATTATAGTTTAAGGGTTAGCACACACGCGGATGGCGTACAACAAAATCTATTCATCGAAATTTTGGATAAAACTTCTTTTTTCATGGCAAGACCTAGGAATAGCGATAAAAAGAAGCCTAATGTTTTATGTATATTTTAGCGAATGTATTCGCGGCGTGTAAGTCGACGAGCTATAAAAGCTGAAAACAGCCAGGTTTGGCCTTGACTTTAAGACACGCAACGGGTAGCGCTTTGGTCCGTCGAAGCTTAAAATTCCTTCCATGTGCGCGCATCCCGACTGATTTTGCTCGAAAGATAAAGCCTTCAGCCGCCTTTGTGCACAACTCTATATTCTTCCAACTAAATAAACGCTTACGTTATTCCTCGTCCAGAAAAACTCGAAATTCTCACAATAACGCGATTGTCCATGACATTATTAACATTCAATACTGTGCATCCTACTTCCTTGATAGCTCTTTCAAAGAGCAGTGCCAGCAGGATAAAAACGTGCTGGCGGCCAGCGAGTGTAAATGAGGCGCGAAACAGAGAGAATGGAAGAAGGAGAGAACAACATACGTACGTTCAGCAAGTAGTCGTCGTGCTCACAGCCGGCAACCTTTCGAATCTCTTGCAGGCTGCCCCACGCTCGTGGCGGTTTGTCGTTGCCCGCCTTGCTGCCTGTATGGCTGTGCGGCAATGACTTTGTCGTCGTGCTGTAGTCCGACTGCGACTTGGAGCCCGGGCTCGTCTTCAGATTCTCCATGCTGTAACCCTGGATCTTCATGCCGTTTGGATACACCTGCAATTGCACACGGCATGCAATGTCATTCCAACGACGAGGGATTAGTGTTCGCGGAACCGTTGCCTAATTTCAGTTGTCTAACGTACTGTCGAGTGGATGCATTTTCCGAAAGATCGAAGATCTAAGAGTGTTCTTTTCGGCGAGTTGAAGCGAACGAAATGATATAAAGAATGACCACCGTCAATAGCACTGCATGAACGACGATAATAAACTCCAGTAACAAAGAAGTTTGTACTACTAGCAATCACTTGTTTCACCATAGACCCAACTACAGTGGCTGATCAAAAATTTCAACGCGAAAAGAAATTCTTCCAAAGTAGTAGAGTATTCGAAAAGCATCCGTTAACCGATTACCGCGCACAGCCGGCTCTGTCACAGCGCGTCGACTGGCACCGAGCAAACAAAAAAGAAGTTCGTTTAATCATGCGCGCACGTACCCTCATCCCCTCCACAGTCTATTCAATGAACCACCGTATAAAATTCAAATATCAAAGTCGAACGACACCAACCTTAGGACTGAGTCTATCGGGCACATCCATATCTCGTTGCAATCCGAAGAAGTTGCCATTGGATTTGGACAGTTGACTCCTGGTGTTCGGGGTAGTATTGGGCTGTAGAGTGCCAACGGACAGGGCAGAAGTATAACGGGGCGAGCGCGCCAAAGCCGCCAGAGCCTTGGGGCTGGTTCGCTGCTGCTTTCGATTACGGGTAGGAGCAGCAGATGGCACGTTGGCGGGACAGCTGATGATGCTCCCCTCTCCGCCGCTGCTGTAGCGCGCGCTACCGCTGCCGCCGCTACGACGCCGACGTGACTCCTTCAAATGCTGACAGTGCGCCAGAATACGCGCCTCCGGGTAGTCCTCCAATTCGTTGCTGTACAACTGCTGGTCCGATAGGCTTGCCGAGTGACTTGCTTTGAATGGCCTGCTATTTTTGTTTAATGTCGGTAATATGGACTTTTTATGATAATTGAACTTCTTTTGGTTTGTAAGCTTTTGGCAATTAACGAAGCTGATTCTATTTTGAAAATTGTAAGCGGTTTCGTATACATTAGTTTAGCGAATTTTTCTTTTATTGATCTGCTTTTGAATATTTTCTAATAGTTTTCCACATTTTTAAATAAAACTTTTAATTTATAATTTAAATATTCTTCAAGTTGATTAACCATCATTCGAGCAATTGTTATAAAATGTCTCAAGAAGCTATGACACACGAGATAAACGTTTATTCTTTCCGGTATACGGGCGTACAATTTAGTTTGATGATGGTTTTAGATAGCAGAATACCGTGAATCATAACGGTTCACAGATTCAAAGGAACTTCTATCGGAGTGACGTATTGTATGTTAGTTTTGAATAATGAGGATTGTAACGTGCCTAAATTGAAGAACTAGTTCAGAATTATTCTTAAGGCCAAATATGTCTCCAACTGGAGAGGTAGTCATCATAATAATTTTTTATTAATATAATGTTACGATATAGGAACATTTAAAGTTCGATAATTGGTGTTAATATTAAGGATAGCCAAAGTAATAGATAACGTCAATTTATTTACCTCGGACAGTTATTCCAACGTGAATCTGAAATAGCGCGCACAGTCAGCTTAGATCCAGAATAATCTTTATTTCTTCCTAGAGAAGAAACGACTATACTCTGCAAAATGATTGAACATTATATAAACTGTCAAAAAAAATTAGATCAAACAATATGTCTTTTTCTTTTTATAAATATTCTTAATAGTACACTGAGAAAAAAGATCTTTTTAATGCTAGTGTTCCTAACCTATTCCTTTATAACAATTTTTTTTGTTCACCGGCCTAAAAGTAGTATTTCCTGGCTGCGCTTCAGTCGGTACCAAGATCATTTTGGCCTCGCTGAACAAAAAAAATAGTATATGCTCCACGGCCAGGCACATGTTTGCCAATTCGCACGTGATATCTATACTTTCTTAGCCTAGGTACGTAATCTACTATTTTTATAGAATATCAATGTTACACTTAAGAAAGTATTTAGTATTTTTACCCTGTCGTGGTATCGAGGCGGGAGCTCAGCATTAAAATTTCTATCCAAATGGCAACAACAATCATCCTTAAATCCTATTCCCGAATCACTATTACTCGAATGCGCAGTGGAAGTACTTATATTACTAGGTTGCGGCGACGATTGTGCATCCCGATGATTCCATCTATTATCGAATAAATTAGCGTTTCTATCAGTTGTATCTGCTATGTAGAGAGTCTGTATGGCACCGACTAAACCTTCACAGCTCGAAGGAAATTCTTGACAAGCATTGCTCGGTTCACTGGCCTTTGTACAGCTAAATCCAAAAATGTCGCTCATATTACAATGTACCGAATGATCGGTAATGTTCGTGTATATTTTGAAAACATGGCAAGAATTCGAGGCATTATCAATTTCGCAGTTATTGGTTTCATTGGTATTGGCTACATCGATTTTCGTAAGGATACCAAAGTGTAATTTGTCTTCGTTCGGGAACGAATTGCAGTAAACAATACGATTTGATGAGTATTCGGCAATTAAACGACCTTCCATATTTGTAAGTTTTATATTTGCTACGTGGATTGTTAATAAAACCTAAAATACAAATAAAATAGATTTTGATGACTTTATATTGAATATTGATTTCATATTAGATTATAAATGATCATACCGTAGTTAGGTTACGACTTTCAGTCTTGATTCTCTTGATACATTTTCTCACCAACGACATCATCGTCATAGATTGCAAATGATTAGGAATGTCTATGGTGCCAAGGTAACCTAGTACTGCTCTGTGAACGATTTTCTCGGAGTCGCATTTTCGCGAGGCAGGCGGTGGCGGCGGCAACGGTGGACTCGACATACTCCACCTATGAAGATTTGGAACCGACATTCTGCAGTTGAACATTGCTCCGCTGTGCAGATCTCTCACCACTTTAGCTATTCTACATTGTGGCTGCAGAGACGTGGACATTTCTGCACTCGCTAACGTGGTACTAGACCTTGATCTACAAAAGAGTGGACTTCTTAACGATTATTCATTTGCACTCCTACGCATAAATCGTACACATTCTAGTTAATTTTCTAAATAAAAAAAAAGTCCAATAATAATTAATCCAAAGTATTTCCAATAAAATATTTCACTAATATCATCTACGGAACCCACCTGTATCTTGGTCTTGCCCGAGCCTTAACATACGAAGTGTCATCGTCGTCACTCGAGTCGCTATCATCAGTAACCTCGGTAAGAATTCGAAGTTTGAGCAAGCCATGCGATCTGCCAATGAGTAAGACAACATCGTCGTGAAAAGCTGTCGTAACACAATGACCATTGACAGCAACGAGAACGTTGCCGGTGCGTAGTCCTGCAAGTTCGGCCGGGCTATCAGGCTCGATCGCGCTAAGGATGCAAGGTTGCTGACCGGATATGGTGAAACCAAAGCCTTTGTCGCCTCGCACCAACTGCACTGTTCTACGCTTCTTTTTCCGTCGAAGTTGCACTGGCCGATCTGGCTCCTGATGCTGTTGTTGCGGCTGCTGCATCTTGCGATGATGTTAGCATATACTGCAATAATGTAAATGTTGTATTGTAGTACAATTTTGACGGGAGGAAGTTGTATTCATCGCTTAAAAATTCGCACATTACACCAAACAGATAAATATAGGCGAAAGAGTGAAAATTGCTCGTGCAAATGTCAACGATTTTAATCTGGAAGGTATCCTTATCTTTTGTAATCAGAATGACGGCGCGATGCGGTGCAATTTCGCGCGCGCGCGCGCGCGAGGTCGCAGAAAATATAATTGTACGGTTTTTGGCCTACCTTTGATTTCATGCACGATTATAAAAAGTATCTACTGGTACCATGAACATTTATTCGATCATTGTAATTCGCAAGTACGCATTTTCGATTTATATATTAATTTTACAGGTATATTCAAAATAAAGCAAATTATTTGACGTTTGTACGTGCTGATCTCAGCGATTATCAGTATATAATACTGTTGTAAAGAATGCGTAACTTTATCTTTATTACAAAACATACATACGTAGAAGCACGCGTGTTTCTTCCGGTAGACGAGGGTTAATCCACTTCGCGCGGGGTCCGTACATTTAATAAAGGCGAGTAGATTTTAATTCGGTCATCGCGTACAGCGATCGTAAATAATTTGGCGCATCCTGCATTAGGCGCACTTCTTCGTTAAGAATTTTCAAATAGTAACTTAATGACACACACACGCACGCGCGTTCCCGTATAATATTTATAATAGATTGATCAAGAATATAAATTTATAGGAAAAACTTATAACGAGTAAAATTATTCGTAGAAACAGTTCAGAGTATTGTTGATTGCTTACTCTATACTTTCCACGTGGATGTAAGTAATCAATCATTAATTTTACTATCAAGTCACATTTTCTATTTTTATTCACAACACTAAGAATGGAATTCGAATCGATCGAAAAAAACGTACTTTTAGATGGTTTAAAAATGTTCTTTGACCAATTAGCATACATTAATTAACTTATTAATAAGCGGGTTGATGCTATATGTAAACAACTTTAAAGAACGCAAATAGTTATTACGTTCGCCTATTTCGGTTAATCGAATTAACTGTGTCCTGGAAACCTTAATAAGTAGCTAGCTATAAAAACCTTAATAATTTGTGCTTGATAAATTACGTTTAGCCATGAAAATAATTTCTAATTGAATGGAACAGTATGAATAAATCACGCGCTGATCATATTATTAAATGATCAACCTTATTCGTTTCGACTCACGCTTTCAATTGGTGGTATTCGAAGAAACAATAATAAATAACTAGAAAATAGATTAAAGTGAAGATGTAAATGTATCAAGACTCATTACATATATTGAGCGAAGTTAACGTCAAACGAATGGCTATGGAAAATAATTGTAACTGCACGAGTATGGCATGTGAAAAGAAACAACAAATCAGGGAAAATAAAACATTCGATACTTTCTCCTAAATAACACGCACTTAGAGGTTAGCTTTTTTAAAAAGGGATCGGTATCGATGGTATTTTACAGCTTTGCACTAACGATTTATCACTACACGAATTTTAGAAAGTATATTTTCATTTAACAATGAACTAGTTTAGAGCTGGGAAATAGAGTTAGACGTGCACTTCCTGTCTCTTTTGAATTTATAGTCGCGCAGGAAAATAGGGATTGCACAAAGGACACCTACACCGTACATTCACGCACACCAGTAACACCAATACTAACTTATATCAGCGTGCTGAAAATCTTGTCCTCCCCGTCCACCGCATTCTATAGGAATGTTCAGTCAATTTTGAAAGCACAGGTGATCTTTAATCGCCGTTAATAATTTCTTTGACACCTGAATCCACTTAAAGATGGTAAAAAATAACGAAAAAAGCACTGGCACTTATGCACGCACCTTTCTGCACACCCACTTAAACTTTACTTGTAGGGAGAGCAAGAGGATACACAACACACGCGTAAATATAACTGCAGTGCAGCAGCGTGTAAACCAAATCGCAAACCTGCGTGGAAAGTCGGTCGTGCGAATTTAAATAAATACTGCTGTAGTTCGAGATTGAAAAATGAACTTCCTATATGGCAGACTTGACGACATGCCAAACCAAATAAGATTTAATGGCACGACTATAACGGAGCAACAGGTTGACGTCTAAGAGGGCGCGAGAATGAGCAATAGAAAAACATTCGGTTGGGTTCGCTGGCCAGATACATACAAGCGCCGCGCGTCTCTCTCGCTTCGCTCAGCTCCGACGATATATATGTCACTCTTCAACCGTTCGCCATCTTTTTCAATCGATTCTCTCTACTCGCGATCTCGACTTTTAAATCGATTTTCGAGCGGTAGAAGGAAGAAGTTTAACATAGCGATCAATTCTCTAATAATTTTTATCCTTATTTGCTCTTCAATTGCAGTTTAATCATAATGCTATTCTGAAATAATAGAATGAGTAATGTATTTAGCGTGATTATATTTAATTAATTTTATATTCAAACGTTTAAAAAATCCGAAACACCATTGTTTTTATTTACCAGTTTGAAATTTCCGCTATTTTTACAGGAGTACGTACAGCGCTGGGCTGGGTCCGGAGTTAAAGTCAAAATGCAGCTAGCAGCCAGCTGTACCACGCATGTGGAATCAAACAATCCTAACCTCTCTCGTTTTGTTGTGCGCTGTGCAGTGAGTATGTGGCAACGTTGCTTTGCTTTATCTCTAATCCAGCTGATCCGAGTAAAATATTTTGTCAACTATATATGACAATATATCTATAGTCGATGTTATGGAAAAGTTTATTTAGAGAACGAGGTACAGTGATAACAGTAATGATTAGAAAACATTGTTGTTGACTTATTCTCAAAATAATTACAATGAATATAATCAATTTCATAGACTATGTGCTCTTTACATAACAAGAAAAGAAAGTCAGTAAATGACAGCTCATCCTGCGTACAGGTAAACAATAACCTTATGTTTGTTTACATGCTATTATCAATCACAATCACAAAGGTTATGAAACATTAGTACAGATAAATAAGTATACTTTTTTTGTCTCCATACTATTTACTTTGTTCTTTGTTGATGAACAAAAGAATTATAAGTGATCGTAAACTTTTTCCATCAGTTGTCTTTAAAAATATCATATAGTTATATACTCTTTTAAGTTTAGATATTTTTATTCCACTTTTTTAACAATATCTCTTTCGGTCTGTTTGTTTGGAACATTATTATAGACGAATAGCGTAAAAGAAAACAGTAGCTGATTCATTTTGGTAGACACTGACTTTACTTGGCATTTAGGTACAGTTATGTCCTACTTATGCAGGTTATAATACGGAATTTTCAAGTGTACAATAGACTTCTAAGGCGTACTTTCTAATTTTATTATATTTGAAAAAATTGAAAGAATATTTTATTAAATACAATTAACTTGATGCTTTTATAATAATTCGTAATTAAGTGATTGTGTAAGATCAATTTCTCAGAAGTGTGATAGAATTTTCATTGAAAATTGCATTAATATTTTTTAAAACATCATTGAGAAATATCATGCCAAAAATATTTGAAACGCATTCATTCAAGTTACCAAATTAATAAATATGGTCTGTTTATAAATTCACTTATTAATTTTTTGAATTAAATTGTTTTTATAGATTTTTTAAGAATGAGAATATTTTAAAATGACATTAAAAGCAAAAATGAGACCAAAAAATATCATAGATTGGAATGTCAGCGATATAGTTAATTGGCTGACCCAAGCAGGTCATGGAAATACTGATATTATTGAAAAATTTATGGATCATGATATTGATGGAAAAGCTTTATTAACACTCAAGGAAGAAGATTTAAGAGGAATGTGGGATAGCAATAAATTAAAAATTGGAGTAATCAAACGTTTGGCTATTAGTATCAAACAGTTACAAAGAGAAAATATTCCAATTCTTCTAGAATTAGGATGTATTGAGATGTTTTCTTCTCAAAATTTCTTGACTCTGAAAAGTAACGATGTAAGTACATTTTTGATTTTTACGTTTTGAAAAAGTTGTTCTTGACAAACTGAAGGAAAAGATAACTTATTTCAACAGATAACTGGGAGTGGTATATTAAATAATGAAGGCTCTATAGAACATGACTTTTATTCTGCATCAGTTTCTGAAGATGGAACTGCTTCTCACTTATCTCCAGAAATCTGGAAAACATTCATTAGTTTAGGATACTTATTCATTGTAACATGGATTACTGCCTTTGTAATGGTAATAGTTCATGATAGAGTGCCTGACATGAAAAAATACCCTCCATTACCAGACATCTTCCTAGATAACGTACCGCATATACCGTGGGCCTTTGATATGTGTGAAGTGACTGGAACTCTTCTTTTTGCTATATGGTTACTTGTTCTCATATTTCATAAATATAGGTATAATTTCAAATATGGTAACATTATTAGTTATAGACAAATTAAAAAACATTATCTTACTATTATGATTTTACAGATTTATTTTGTTACGAAGATTTTTTGCTCTATCTGGTACAGTCTTTTTATTGAGGTGTGTCACAATGCTTATTACCTCATTATCTGTACCAGGTGCACATTTGCAATGCCACCCAAGAAATCTTCCAACAACTGATTCAACTTCGTAAGTATTTTTATGCATTATATCATAAAAAAATACTTTTCAAGCTATACCTTATATTTTTTTTATCTGGAAATGCATATTCCATGTAGAATTAATTTTCTTTTTTTTAATCTAGTTTTTACAATGAACTTTATAATAAAATCGAAATGGCATATGTGATATGGCGAGGCGCAGGTATGTCTATTCAAGGAGTAAGGACTTGTGGAGATTACATGTTTAGTGGTCATACTGTAGCATTGACCATGTTGAACTTTTTCATTACAGAATGTAAGTAAAAATTTTTTATGAATATGTTGATTTTCATATCATTTTAAAGTAATAAGGTCTTTTTTTCAGATACTCCAAGAAATTTGTACTTTGCACATACGTTTACATGGATGCTGAATATGTTTGGTATATTCTTTATACTTGCAGCTCATGAACATTACTCGATTGATGTTTTTGTTGCCTTCTACATAACTTCGAGACTCTTTTTATACTACCATACATTAGCAAACAATCAAGCTTTGATGCAACGTGATTCAAATAGGACAAAAATATGGTTTCCATTATTCAGTTTCTTTGAATCATCTGTGGATGGCATAGTACCAAATGAATATGAAAGTCCATCAGTAATTATCTTTAATCTAATTCACTCAATTAAAGATGTAGGTAATTATCTTCGACTGTGTATGGCTTCCCTAAAGTTAGAAGAAAAATTGAAAATTGATGTTAATACCGTAAAAAAACAACTTTAATAAATTGATAGTTAAATTCAATTTTAGAAGGAAGAAAAAGTTTCAATATGTAATATTTTATAAGAATTTGACCTAGAATATTACACTAATATATTTCAAATTGTGTTACAACGAGGTAACTACTATTTTAATAATTTCAATTTAAAAATGCACAATTATATTCGAATTTAACTAAAATTAAGAAAAAAGTTATCTACAATATAATTTAGAGTGCATCAAAGCTAGTTTTGATAGAATTTTTGCAAGAGCATAGCACAATATTTATTAAAAATTAGTAGTTATTTGATGATTAAATGAAAACAGAAGTACCGACTTCACAAAGTTGTTAAAATACCATTAACAGTTTCGTACTGCAATAATTTACGTTAATATAAAATTATGTATTGTATATAATAACATTATTAGTATATAGTCATAGCAACAAAAGAAAAATCGTTGCATTTTAATGGTTAATAAATATTCCAATATTTTATCGTTCGGAAATAACCATCATCAATACTAGAAAAATTGTGTAAATATGTAAAGAAACCATTTAAATATTTCACTAGCAAATATGTATATGTAAATATTTTGGAATGACTACTCCATGGAATTAAAATTAAAGTACTATATGTTAAGAAAAACATGTTCGATAAGAATGTAAATTCAATTTGCTAGTAGAGATAAACTTCCATATTTTTCTGTGTAATATTCTAGGATCAAGACTATTGTTTTTTCCTTGCTAATATTTTGTTGTGTATGTTTACAACAAATAAAGATGAATATTTATGTTATATATATAAGTAAAAATAAATTATAATCGATTATATTTTTTTTAAGGAAAAAACAGAACTGTATTAAGATTAGTCACAAGGTACATTTTAACCATTATATAGTAATTTTCTTTTTGTAATGCCCAAAAATCTACTGAAGGATGTAAAGTTTTACAGTTTGTAATTTTTAAATTTATATTTGATTACATAAATCATCTATAAAGTCGTTAATTTGTTCAAATGAAATGGAATTTATTTTCTATAAGAATGTCAAAGCGCATAAATGTTTATTACTCCACGTCTCGAAATGTATTTACATAATAATTGTATTTTTATCTTGGAACATTGTCATACTTTAATTTTCGAATTTTGTATCATCGACGTTGAAATTAAAAAATGCGAGTTTATAGAAACATGTCATCCACTTTTAAAATAGTAGTTTCTTTGCAGACGTAACTTATTGTCCATCATAGGAAAAAGTGCTCTCAATCACTCTATTTTTCACAAAATGTAATAATGCAGTAATGATCAATAGATTGTACAATGCCTCTCTAACTTAACAGCGATTTCCTACATATCTAGTTCTTAAAAAAAACGAATTATTATTATTACTTTTTCATGACAAATGTTTGTAAAAAAAAGTGAAAATATGACAGTTTCTAACAAGGTAGATTGATTGTATAAGAATTGACTGCAATGACATACATTATATAAATCCAAAATATATTTAACGAAATATAAAAATTTTATATAATGCCGTGCAACGGCTCCAAAGTTGCCAAACTAAGAAAAAAGTAGTTATAAATAAATACGTTGAGTGTCGTTTTTGGGTAAAGTTTAATGTACGAAATGAAGCTCAGTTTACATGTACATATGTATTTACATTTGATACGCGATTTATTATGATTGTGTTACCATTACTTTCTTACTGAGCTGTGCTCAAAACTTTTTATTAGACAATATGTTATGAGTATTGAAGACTTATTTCAATTATAGAAAAAATTCTTAATAAATAACGAAAAATCGAAAATATTTATTTTCTTACTCATTCCGTCTATGAAATGTTTGAACGAGATAATAGTGGTAATTATTATATTATATTTGATATTGGTATTCATTTTTTATGAAAAATAAACCGCACGGTTGTAATTTTAATTTAACGCGCCTCGATAGCTTCCACATGTTCGCGTCTAATTCTAGCGTGTTAAAATTAAATATCTCCCACTCGAGACTGTTCCTCGTAGCTTTTCGTGGCGGTGTTAGAAGAAGCACTGACTTGCCTGCACCCGATACAATTTGCATGCTTTAGTTTTGTTAATTATTTTAAAATTTGTGAACTGTGTACAACTATTTATATACACGTCGCGTATCTTATAACATGTATACGTAGAGCAGTAGCGTTTCTGTATCTGTGGAAGCAATCATTTGTCAACGTTTGGAATTAAGCAACCTAAGTAAGTTTGTTGAATTATTCATACACTTTGAAGATGCAGTAATAAATAGTATTATGTTTATAGAATAAAAAGATACCGCCTGGAAAAAAGCAATGACTGATTGCGCACCAACAATAATTATAGTTTGTTAATTTAATGACAATTAGCAATCGAATATAATGTATAAATTTAAATAATTTCCTTATATTTATATGAACGTACAATTTTTATAAAAAAATTACACCGGTAGTAGAAGGATAGAATAACACGTCAATACTGAGTTAATAGTCTGATTATTCTATGCTACGAAGGTATAGCCATGAGCGAGAAAACTGAGGGCACGTGTGCCGTGTGCAGCAAAACAGCGACGACTCGTTGCGGCAATTGCAAGAAAGTCTTCTACTGTGACAAGGAGCATCAGCGTGAGCACTGGCCCAGTCACAAAAGCATCTGCCTGGCTTACGAGATCAAAGAGAACGAGAAGTTAGGCAGACACTTACTAGCGACGCGCGATTTAAAAGCAGGAGATTTGGTTCTCAGCGAGGCACCGATTGTTTGGGGTCCGGCTGCCCACAGCGAGGAGCGCATTTGCGTTGGCTGCGGTACCAAGAACACCGTGTGCAGATGTCCAAACTGCGCGTGGCCGGCTTGTATGGTCTCCTGCCCTGGTCTAGTCGACGAGCACAGGCACGCGCAGGAGTGTCCATTGCTCGCTGCCGCGAGGCTTCTCCCAAGGTACGAACAAACGAACAAAAGCGGCTAGTATCCGAAAGCTTCAACGGGCATTCCCCGATGGGCCTGCAGGTGCGACTATCTGCTAGTACTGCGAGTGCTGATCCTGGGCCGCAAACAACCGAAGCGTTGGCGGCAGCTCACCAAGCTGCAGAGCCACGAAGAGAGTCGTGGGCCTGGCACGGATGCTCACGAGGAGACGCAATCTGTCGCCCAATACTTCGGCCCACTACTCGCGCACGATCCTGTCTCGGCTCGGATTCTCCCCAAAGTTTGTGGTCTCATCGACGTGAATGCTCTGGAGACGAACCCGCCCGAGGGTTCGGCTGCTCTCTACGAGAATGCGTGCCTGCTTCAGCATTCTTGCCTAGCCAACACGCGCCATACGTTTACTCTCGACGAGCAGGGTAGACCCAAGATCAACGTCATTGCCCTAACTTCCATTAAAAAGTATAGCTTTTAAGCTCGTGGCGATTGTCTTTCGGCGGCTAATCCACGTCATTGTTGTCGTTGCAGAGGCGACCACTTGAGCACGACGTACACTCACGTACTGTGGTCAACGAGGGCCCGTCGCGAGCACTTGTTGGCCACCAAGTACTTCGCGTGCGAGTGCAAACGCTGCGCCGACCCGACGGAACTAGGCAGTCACCTCGGCACACTCAGGTGTCCGTGCGAGAAGGGATACGTCACGCCAGACGATCCTCTCAATCCCGAAAGCGACTGGTCTTGCAGCGAATGTCCGGGTGTTCTTAGTGGCGGAGAGGTCGCTCAACTTACCGATAGACTTAGCGAGGAAGTCGAAGCTGCCATGAGCGTTCCCGTCAAAGCTATCTTATCCGACTTACTCTTCCGGTGAGCAAACTTTTTCAATTGGCGTTTTCCACGTGCACGTCGTGCTAATTATGATCCAATTGCGATCGTCAGCTAAAAAGGCACCGATAAAATCCGTGCGAAGCGTCGGCTACGAATGCCAAAGGCGTAAGGCGTGTCGATGGATTCGCCGGCGTATCCACCCACGCCCGTTGAAAACCCACCGGTCACCATTGTTTGTTTGCTTTTAAGGCTGACTGTCCTCCTACACCCAAGTCACCAGCACTGCACAACAATTGGCCACTCGCTCATGCAGATGCTCCCACCCGACGATCCGAAGAAGGAGGAGCTGTGCAAGCGCCTGATTGACACAATCGAACGCGTCGATCCTTACGGCGGGCGACTTGCACTTTACCACGCCATAGCCTTGCGCGAACTGTCCAAGTGCTCCAATCGGGATAAAAAAGTACTGCTTAAGAAGGCGATGGAACTTTTGAGGTACGAGCCGCCCAACAGCGCCGGAGATAAACTTGCTACCGTTATTTTAGCTGATGCTTGATTTGAGCTTTCGCATTCACGCATATGTGACATTAACTGTCACATTGAATGATATTTCAAGACGATGTTTTATTGGATACAAGATGTTGACGAATATGTACAAACAAATTTTACCGTTCAATACAATAATACGTTAGAAAGATTCTAAAAAGTATATGGACCTCGAGGAACGATGGTTGCATTAGCTGAATTGATACGAACGTGTCGATCGTCTTCGAATAGCGTTACTTGAGTTTTTCCCTTTTTGCGACGGTTTTGTAAGAAAGTTAATAACGACAAAGATTCGCACAAAAATGCGTAGAGAAATGGATCCAAAGCCACGGCAAAACCTTATAATCCTATGTGTTTAAATTTAAACGTTTTAAGTGTGTAATTATGACGTCATCCAAAAGAAATACATTGTCGCTGAATTTAAACGTTTAGAAGTGTTTAAAATTGAGGACAATGTATTTCTTATGGGCGACGTCATATTAAACGTTTGAATTTAAACACATGGGTTTACCGTGGCTGCATTCAAGAATGTCAATCTGGAAAAGATCACCTGCAAGTGGATCTACAAGGTACCTTCTAATTTTGTATGCAGTTTAAACAAAAGTAATATCCATATTGGTATTCGTCCAATGAGAAAAGCCAAAATTAATACGAGAATCACGTTCACAGTTTTTTTTTCGGCGTATGTGATTTGATATCATGAGCCTTTGAGGCTGCGGTTTCCGACGGTGAACTTGACTGAAAACTAAGACCAAAAAATTCGCTACGGTTTTACACTATTATTTTATACAATTTGATTAGCACAAACGCGATTTTACTTTAAGTGTCATCAAGCTATGAAATCTTTAAATATGAACTTGAAATGGCACGTGCGTACATCTAAATAAGCAAACCATATACGCGGACAGTTCACATAATAATGATGTTCGTGTTTTTCATCGTTAAATTATTCAGAAATTATTGTCGGACTCAATAGTAAAAGACATATTGCCTCGCTGACAAAAAAAGAAAAATATACGCAAAAGCGTTGAGCAGACCTGTCGAGAATTCCGTGGATTGCGAATCATTTCCAGGAGGAAGTTGTGATTTCTTACTTTGTTCTTGACGACGCCAAATGTTTAGCGCCAGGAGCACGTGCAATGTGATGAAAATCACTGCCAGCGGAATGAATATTGTGACGAAGAGTGCAGTGTAAAGCACAGCAGTGCGATTCTGCCTCGTCATACAAAACCTTCCTCTGCAACGTACACGTTTGATTTACTCTGTTTTGCTCGATTCCGTTGCAAAGATTGGCTTGGAAAGAAAGGAGAAACATTTACTCATAAACTGTAGCGTTCGGTGTAATGACCGTAAGGCTATCTATAGTGTACATGCCCTGCATGGGGTACGATGCTGCTGAAGCAACCAGCCAAACGAGCCCGTTGAAAAGTATTGCGCGAGGCCAGGCATATCCTTCACCTCCAGGACATTTTGATTTTAGTGCTCTATAACTGTTTTTGTTGCAAAATATTATTCCGATACAAGTTGCCAGAAAGAAACGTAGAATAGTTTCAGCGGAAAGTATGAGTGATTCTATAGCTACGTCAGCAAAAATTGCCACTGTCCGAAAGTACGGTATATCATTGCACGTCCAATTTGGCAATCTCCACAATAAGCCTGTCTTGAAACCAACAACTGTCAAGGTGTTAGAACCAGAGGCTGTCAAGAGCATCAAATCCGAAGTAGCAAACGATAGAAGTGTACATCTATAGAAAGGTTTCAATATTGCGAATTTACCATTTGGCGCTGAAATTATTCTATGAAATACCACGGCGTTGCCGACTAAACCAACGCACACGATCGACCACAATACAATCTGGAATGTTAGCCGTGTACTTTCGGAAAACATTCAAGCGCGAAGCCCTGATATTATTTCAATGTTACGATAAACGTAAACATTATCATAATTATTGAAAAGAGCTTCTTTAAAGTTCAAACATTAAAAAAGAAAGTACGAGGGGGAACATTTTATAGCGCTTTGCCAATCGTTAGAAATGACGCTCGCAGTTCAGCAACTGAAAGATAACTCCTGGCCACGGCTACGCTTATATAAGCTTTTAATCGATTTTCTGAAGAATCCACTCCAGATACATTCAATGACAATCAAATCGTCGACGCACGTCAAACACTTGACTTCCATTGAAATTGGCAGATGGTCAATACGCATTGTTTGCACTTGACGTCGCTCTTTCCTTTATTGCAATTTGCTATGCACAAGTCGAGAGCTTGCAGTTAAAATATTTTTCAAGTTCTTTGATCAATATAATTTTGGCAAATTGGATTGTGAACGTTGTGAACAATGAGTTGATGAATGCATGAAAGGAAACATTAACATTGAGGCGGGATAAATCAAAGTGTAACGTTTGGAAGTAAATTTTTATACAAAATTCGAATTTATACAAAAATGTGTCATAGTGAATTACATTTATTCTTACAATTAGCTTCAATTACAACTTAAAACAATTACGTAGGTGATATATTTTATGCGGGTTTACATAAATCGCTTGGACAATTTTATTTCCAAATTGAACGTACATGCAAGCGCGATATTCATCATAAGTCTTGATTGATTTTTAGTACGATTCCCGACTTACCTTTTTGTTTAATTTCAAAATACATTGCATACAAAATATGATTTTTAGTTTACAACTATTTCATAATAATGCTGATGTCTAGTCGCAATGTAGCTTAAGCAGTTACTATTTTAAATGACGACCAACGCGTCTAATAAAATTTATGTCCGATTTCTCATCTACGTTTTATAATAGTCAAATTGGTTTTATTCTGTCCTACATACGCTCTTTTAAATCTAACACATATAGAGATTACATTATATTGTAATAGTGTAAAATATTTACATAACAGAGTTAGACAAGTACGTAAGAAAAATGTTTAAATAAATTTTATAGATGAGAAATTTGTGAACAATAAATAAGAATTACTCTAAATATAAAAATTGAAAAACAAGCTGCTGAAGCTTTTTTTCTAAAACCATTACGTTCTAAAAAATATAATTTATTTTAAATAATGAGTACATTTGTCGTTTATCTATATTATAATTTGTTGCTTAGAAGACAATGAAACTTCTACTATACTAAACATGGAAATTATTTTTAAACGCATTGAGGATAATGACGAATTTATAAAGTAAGGTAAGTCTACCTCATCACGTCACTAAGATTTGAAATGACCACAACTTTTCACTACAAACGATTTTCTTAACATAAGACGGTTCATTTGAGAATTGAGCATTCATCCTTTGAAATGAGCTCCGCGCGATTGATTTGGTAATTCGAAGTGTTACATTTTGAAGAAAGTATAGCTCACAACGCCACTTTGAAGAAAAAGTATTTTAGTGAATGAAAATAATAATATTAAAAAATTAGTTTTCATATGAATATTTGTTATGAGGACGTACTGTTTTTGAATGATAAAGTACATCACAGTGTATTGCTTATTAATGACCATTCTTTGATTTGCAGAATCAAATGACAATTATGAATAGTCCGATAGTCGACGTAATATTTTTTTGATAAATTTTCAAGTTAAAAAACATAAATGAAAATGTCTGTTCATCGGATATATAGCATTTTTTGTAGTGGCGATATGAGGCTTACTCGAATGAAAATAGTAATCGGGCGACATTTGGTTTACTTACGCAAGCCAAAAATTTTCGACCAGAGTTTTTAAAAGAGTAAATCACTACGAATCGAATAGTACGTGCTATTTTTACATATTTAGATTTATGAAACTAGTTGAAGAAAATATAGAGAGTTAAAAAAATGTACGCATCCGGAGCATAAAACAGCTCCTGTAAAAGAAATTTTGCGTTCGGAGATTATTTAAATCATTGGAAATTTTATTACTTAATACGAAGTTTATTTTCACTACGTTACTGTACGAGGTTTGAAAACTCTGTATAAGTGTTTCTTATATTATTTTCCTAATTTAAATAAGTATTGGAGAAAGATGAAGTAAAATGCGGACAAGTATATTTTGAATTGTTATCAAAACATCAATCTTAAATAGCAGTTATGTAGCAGTTTCTATTTAGTTAATGCTGTTACGGTTGTAAACGCGTATAATTTGAATCTTATATGTTCAAACATTCCTTTGCGACAAGATAGAGAAAAGAAAGTCACATATCTAATAAATCGTGGAAAGAAAAATATTCTTAATTCAAGTAGAGATTGCTGGAAATATAGCTTTTTTAAACTTAAATAACGTTTAATTAAGACTGAAAAGATCTGATGTTTTACAAAAGAGTTTTCTAAATCTATGAATAAGTCTTTTATTAATTATACCATTATCTTTACTTGAACAAGTATTTTTACAAAAGATACTTTTACGTTCTCATACGAGTATTAAGTGATTTTTTCTCTCGTAATCTTTGAACTTTAAGTGGAGTCTTGATCAAGGGTCCAGCTGGCGTTGAACAGTGGAAATTATATATTTTTCTTTATTATGATGTAAAAATCGTTCTAATAAAGTTATTATCGTGAATATTTTTCATCCTGAAATCCTCGGTAAATGATTTTATTTTCTTCTCGTTAAGTCCCAAAATTTCACGTAAGGACTCTAGAAAGTTCCCTTAACCGTAAGACCTTGTGTTTTGAAAAAATTTGGGTTATTACGTCTTTCTGAATGTTAAAGAGAACAAAAATCATTTTTTTCCTTTAGATCAGTAGTCCAGGTTAAGTGAAAGAATTTTTAAACTTTTACCGAATTCTTTTCGAAAAAATTTGAAAAAGTTTTCATAAAAATGGTAAAATTGATTATTTTGATAAAAACCTTCACTTAATCTGGAGTAATGTTACAAAGAAAGAAAATGAACAGTTCAAAAACGATTTCGTTTAATTTAATATTCAGAAAAACCAAACTTTTTTCAAACAAAGGGTATTACAGTCAAGGGAACTTTTAAGAGCACCTAATTGAGATTTTGGACTTTAAAATAATAAATTGAAAACATTTAGCGAGCGTTTCCAGGTGAAATGCGTTCATGATAATAATTTTATTAGAACAATTTTTACACTACAGTAAATAAAACTTATAGTTTTCACCGTTTAACGATATCTGATCCCCTTAAGGGTCCACGTCTCGTTTCATTCTCATAAAATTATATTCATAATTTATAATTCTGCAGTTACTTGAATTAGAGTGGAGAAAGTAAGAATCGTGAATACAGGACATTTGTATCAGAGCTGCTATAACTTTGAATCGGAATATAATATGATTTGAGTGAATAACAAATTGGGTAGGTAGTTGTCATTTTGAATATTGTATTAATTTATCAATCTAGTCGATAAGAGATGTCATGTAAGGAAATCAATTGAGTTGAGCATATATTACCTTAGGACTTTTGAAAATAGAAAAAATTGGAAAGAATTTGTTTTGCCTAGCAGATAGGCCCAAATAAATACATCCAATATTGAGAGCGAAGTACAAATAAGCGATAGCGCAATAACTGTGCTATAAAAACCTTGGTGAGAGTAGGATGGAAAGGCGAAGAAATGAATTGGCGACGTATGGCTTTACACGAAGTTCAACATGTACATGTCGTATGCTCATCATCGCCTACACGCAAACGAGCAAATGAGCGCCGAACAAAAAAATTGGTTGGCAATGGCATCGTGGTCTCGAAAAAAAATAAAAGAGGGGCACACAGTGCAAGCTGTTCTCTCTCTCTCTCTCTCTCTCTCTCTCTCTCTCTCTCTCACTCTCTTTCTCTTTCACATGCGCAAGTAAAACAAAGGGGCGGGAGGAAAGCAGGAAAGAAGTCGAAGGTGGGTCGCGCGCGAAGGGCATCCAAGTACAGAGGTGAGCGAAGTGTGGGAAGGCGAGTGAATATGTAGTGCAGGAGGCGCGAGGAGTGGTCGATGGGGGGCCATTTTGAAAGCGAGTGTCAATGCTGTCAGCGTGGCGTGGCCGAGGGAGAAGGGCAGGGCCTTGCGAGCGAGTGGGCTGGGCCTGGTCGGCGGCTGTTGCAGGGCCTCATGCTCGTGCTCGAGGCCGCTCGGGTGCCGCTGGCGCTGCTGCCGCTGGCGCTGGCTGCGCTTCTCACGCACCAAGACGCTGGCTTCGCCCGACACTTGCGCAATGTCCGGTACTCCCACGGCGACGCCGGCGACGCCGGCGACAGGCTGCCCAACGCGCCCGCCGCGTTCTTCTGCAACATGTACTGCACGCGTTTGGCGCGCGACCGTCAGTGCTCTCTCTCTCTGTTTGTTTTTCCGCAACAGCGAGTAGCGAGATCCTCTCACTGCACGCGCGCCTATTAATTTTGCAGCGGGCTTCTCAAGGCCCTCTCTGTCTCTCTCTCTCTCTCTCTCTCTCTCTCTCTCTCTCTCTCTCTCTCTCTCTCTCTCTCTCTCTCTCTGTACGCTCTCGCCTGGGGAAACTCGTCGCACCAGTAAAGTGCCTCACGCGCGCTACACTTGTCATTTGACTTGTTTGTCCGCTCTCGCGCGTCGATATCGGAACATCTTCACTTCGCACACGATGAATCGATACAAGCGCCAGCGTTCGCTCGCGCTTATCTCGCAATAAATGTTTCGCGCCGCACGTTTTCTCGGGGCGCGAGCAGAGGACGCGGGCGAGCTTTGCGCTTTTCACTCCGACTCTTGGCGAAAGAACTGCATTTGAAAGAGAAACAAAGGGAACACAGTGAGCAGGAGAAACAATGGCAATGCCGAGGCAAAAGCAGAGCAAACGAGTGCTCGAGGACAGAGAGCATAGCCGAGCTGGGCTCAACTTACGTCGCTGAAGGGGAAGGCCTCGTCCTCGCTGGCGAGGACCTTGACTTTGGACATTTTCACGAGGTCCGCCGCCGACGCCGACAGCTGGACACCGAAGCGCTTGCCGGGCGGCAGCGCCGGCGCCCGATGCAGGAACTCGCCCCCTATCTGCTGGTCCTGTCGAGCAAATCGGTCGGTCGTTGGTGGTCGAGGGCGAGACGGGCGGCCGAGCTTACCCAGCAGTAGCCACCTCCCCGGATCTTCACCCTGAGCGAGCAAGCTCCGCAAGCGAGGATGTTGAAGAGCGTGGTGGTGTTGTCGCGGGGCTTGAAGCGGAACGCCGCCTGGCCGTCGCTCTTCCTCAGGTTCACGGTGGCGTAGCGTCCGCTCTGCAGCACGATCGGCAGCTTCCTCTGGAACCTGAAGCTGTCCTCGCTGACCTTGCTCGACACGTTGTTGTGCGTGTTGATCTGCGAAGCAAAGTGCGTTGGCAAGGCAGGGAGAGCGCGGCGGGCCGAAGCCGGTACCAACCACGTAGAGCGTGAAGTAGTAGGTGGTGTTGTAGTCCAGCCCGACGAGCGTGAGCTTGCTGCGCCTGACGCAGTGCAGGCCCTCGGGCTCGGTCCTGTGCTTAGCACGGGCTTGGCCGGCGCTCGGGCACGGGTGCTTCTTCATGATGTTCTCCGCCGCGCAGAGGGTCGGCGGGTGCAGCTGCGCCCCCTTGGTCACCGCCAGTAGGTAGCTGCTGCGGCTCGGGTCCACGTGGCTGCAATGCAGGCAGTCCCCGGCGCCGCCGGCAGCGTCAGCAGCGCGCGGACGAGCGACGCCGGCTCGCTCGCGTGCCCCCGAGGGATTAATGGCCTACTCGCGCGCGCTACTGCCTCGCTGCCTGCGCTTTTACCGGCCGCTAGTCTAGGCGCCACTATGCGCTCGCGCTGGCCTTTTTCACTTGGACGGGGCCGCCGCGGCTGTCTTTTATGTCTTCTTACCTGCTCGCTCGACGCGATCTCGAAGCTAACTTCTTGACAACTTCACGGCTCAATTACTCGTTGAACGATTCGTTTTTTTATGTATTTTACGATTGTAGCAACATTTTCAAAAATCCCAAGATGAATCGTTCCATTTTTCGGATTTATCACGTATCAATGTATTTTTATTTAATTTCGATACTCCTTCAAAATATTAGAAAGCACTTGAACTTATGCCGAGCATCATTGTTTTTTTTTACTGTAAAACTAAATATTTAGTCGATCCATTGACACTTGTGCGATTTTACATTTAGAATATTGTTTTTTTGTTTTTGACTTGCGAAACGTAAAAACTATTTTCCAGAATAAATACTGCTAAATGTCGCGGATAAAAATCGCACTGCATACTATAGCATAAATTCAACTGCTTTTTATGTGTATTGACATTAAATTAAAATATATTGATCTACGATAAACCTGACCAATTAAAAGATTCATCGCAAGATAAGGAATATTTGGCATGTTTCTAAACTTTGTTACCATCATAATTAAATGTATGATGATTTAAAAAATTAATGTGTTAATAACTGATTAACCCGTTAAATTTTCAATAAGTTACCTTCTAAACTCGTCTTTGACAAATTAAAATACAATTTTTAAGTGATTTTACTCGGTGGAACGATTATTTTTACTCTTACGAACAAATCAACTAACGAAAAAGTAGAGAAATCTTCAAAGCGAGTACAAAAAGCCTTGGTGCGGTATACAAAGATGTAACGCACTTTAGCGTTTAAAATAAGATGACGCACGGTGAAGTATATTAATTAGGAGCTGAGTCGTAGTTGTATTTGCCACGGAGGTATACCGATTTTTTGTACTTAATCAACAATATCTCCTGTTGAAAAGTGACTTGTTCGTTGATAAATAAACAACGAAACATACCGATCCAAACTTTGTTGTCTCCTTTAGTTAAAGAGATAGAGCGTTTGGAACATTGAAATTGTTTATAAAAACTGAGTCGAGCTGCGGGTCGGAAGCCATCCTCGCTACTCGAGTTGAGAGCGGCTAAAAGTACTTAATAAAGATCTAGGTGAGCCGATCTAAATTAAAAAAAGCGACTGCGAGCCTACTGGCGCTCAGACTGCTTCTCGGTAGTTCGCACTCTCGCTGCCCACTTATTTCGATCGACGGAAGCTGCGCGCCTCCGTGTGGGCAGCTTCGCGTGCGCAAGCCCGATTCGCGAGGGCTTCGATAAAAAGTTGAGCCGATCATGATTGTGCTTTACAGTGGTCGGCCGATTTTTTGGTGAGCTTCGCAGGTCGGCGGTCGACGCGCGTACCTTTTGTTCCAGGACACGATGAGCTTGCGCCTGCTGGACTTCTGCTGAAACTCGAGGAGCGGCTGGTGTCGCTTGCTCCTGCCGGAGTAGAACAAACTGGCCGGCAAATGGCCAATGGCGTCAGAAGTGGCATAGAGCAGTACGGTATTGGGCGATCGAGTCTTCAAGTCAAGGCCAGGCGAATTGATGGGTCTCATGTCGATGCGATAGAGATTTGGTTGGGTCGCTGGGATGGTGAAGTTCTTGGTGTCGGCGCCTTCGTAGTTGAAGAGCGGCGAGCCAGGGATCAACTGTTTGACCGGCCAGTGCGTCTGACCTGCGAGAAATAAAAGGAAAGGTTGAAGCAACTGATTAGATGGGGGCTTGTTTTATGTTGGGCGCGGTGTGGGGGCATCGCGTTGCGTAAATCATCGTTCTTTAATGACGCAAGCTTGCCCTCCAAATACTAAGTATCTCTCGGTTTCACGCTGTCATCCTGCATATATGCATGTGCGTATCGCCTCGAGGGAGGCTCCGCGCTCGAGAAGTTCTTTCTCATTCTCTCTGTCTCTGTCTCTCTCTCTCGCTCTCTCTCGCTCTCTCTCGGCCCTTGGCATCTTTTTAGCCGGTTTGAAATATCTATACGCAAGAGCTCCGCTGCTGGATATCGACTACATTCTTTGGATTTTTTATGCTTCCACGCACTCGCACGCCAACTTTGTTCCTGTGGCTTGTGCTCGCGGAGAGCTACATTTCTTGCCTCCAAATAGGACTCGACGGAAAAAAGAAATTAACTGCAAACGATTGACGTGCAAGGTTTTTACTTTAATTTGTTTGCATGAGAGGTTGATTGATTGGCCGAGAGAGGGAGAGAGGGGGAAGGGGAAAAAGTTTCATACCAGTTGCAGCAGCGCAACAAGACCAATCGAACGCGTTAGAATAAGTAATAGTGACCAAATACGGTGGGAGCATCGCGAGCTCGCGGTTCTTATTTTTCACATTAGCTTCTAAACACGAAATGGGCGGGGCGCTTGAAGCCAACTTCGACATCATCAAGATTACGAAAGAAAACACACCTTCGACTTCATCGAAATTGCGATAGAAAACGCACACTCACAAAAACGAGATACGAGTTCTCATTTGAAGTCGGCAGCGCACTCCAGAACTTCATTCTATTCTTCGCTCATTCCGCGTTCAATTATAATTACGAGGCTTTCCTCGGCGATCCGATCGGTTTTTGCAGCTGCCCGCTCGAAAAACAATCAAGCCCTCACATCTGCCGCATACTTACTCGACAAACGGCCTGCCAGTCCGAGATCCGATTATCGTAGCGACTCTCGCTATAACAATTAAGTATGCGGCGTGCGATTTCACGGGCATGCTAAACGCCCGAGCGGCCGAAGCAAAAAAGAATTCACGCGCATTTCGGCAGTTTATCTTGTTAGCGAGTCTATAAATCTTTGGATCCAAGTGCTTTCGCGCGGGCCACTTTGGTCTGCTCGGCGGTGTAGACGGGCGTAAAAATGTCTATTTTAAGATTAAAAGTTTAGCCCGCTCTCGCTGCCGTCCCCGCGTCTGAAGAGAATCAAAGAAGCGCTGCTGCCGGGGCTCCGCGCGCACGACCAATCGGCACAACTTAGAAAAATGAGCAACGAAAGAAAGAAAGCAAGTCACGACACACGCAACGGCTAAATAGGTGGGCGAGAGAGCAGCTCGATGTTAAAATCTAATTTGGTCACGCTCCTCGGAAACGAAGATGGCGAAAAAGAGAGGCAGTCTAGACGCGTCGCGCGAAATAGTTTACAGCTGCCGATATGCACGCGCGCGCACGGCAAGCTCTTTGACGACAAGCTATAAATGCGAGTAAGCGCGAGGGAGTAAACATGCCCATCACTGGAACGCTCAACGGTGGAAAATAGTACGCTGACAATAATAGATGGACGGATGGACGTGCGACGGCTGCGAAGAACAGAGAAAAAAAAAAATCGTGAGTATACCTTCCGCGTGCTGATCGCTTTCGGGAGGGTAGACGTAGCTCACGCTCCAAGCTATTGGCCCACTGCACGGGCTCACCAGCAGCGTCGGCGGCGCTCCGTTCTTCGGGCTCAGTAAGTAAAACCTGGAACCAATTCATCTGCATCCAGTATGACATTACTATTCGACCCAGCTCTCAATCAATCTTATAGCTTAAATTTTTTAGCCTCCTTTGTTTACGCTTTGTTTTTGCTTTCTTTTCACATTGTTCTCTTCTCACGGGCGGCTTTCACGGGTTTTCACGCTGGCGTCGAGGCTTGGCAAATAGTCGGACCACTTTGTGCACGGAAAAATCGAAATAAGCCCGCGCGCGTTTCACACGACAGAATGTCAATGCCCAAGAGCACGAGTGTACAAACGTTCAACGGGCAACAAGCTTTTTCTTCTTTTTTCAGCAACTTCGACATGCAAGAGGAACACCTATATAAAATCAATCACGTACTTGGACGCGCGCACTTAAGCATCCGATCGACGTTTATCTCTGCGTTTTTTATCGCAGTATACATTATAAAAGAGCTTCCCAATGTCGCCAAGCTAAAGTCCAAGTCGAGCAAAAGAAGGACGAATCTGCAGCGCTATACACGCCAATGATTACTCAAGTGAATTCCATGATTTACGTGAATTTCATACTGACGACGACTTGTGCGCGCGCGAGAGTCCGTTTGGAATTTTCTCATATAAGCGTCGCGACACGACAGCTATAAGAATTGACGAGCACTCGTTCCAGCTGGCGATGTTAATGTCGACGCGCAAACACAGGCGCGACGGGCGAAAGTGGTCCCCGCGCGCGCGCGCGCGCGCGCCTTCGCGAATTATAAAGGCAAAACTTTGGCGGGCGCCTGCGATTCTTCTCGATTTCTCTCTCCTTTATGAGGGGATCGTGCCATCTCTTCTCTCCCGGCTCGCCGCTTGTAGATCAACATCGATTTAAATTTACTGCTGCGGCGATTTACGGTCACTTTGACAGATTTAAACTTCAACGAATGACAAATTGCTCAAGAAAAATCGCGCGCGCTGCTCTTGGCCGCTTTTTGCATGCTGCAGTCAGCGGTGCGTAACGACTAATTGGCCACGTAGGCTTTTAAAATCGAACCGTTACTCTCTGCACGGCCAACAATTTTCAATTGAATCGTTGCCAGGCGACAAAATTCTGCGCGCAGCGAGTTTGCATCTCGGAAACAAATCTTGCCGCAAAAGTGCATCAATTTATTTACGAGAGATTATTACGAATACGTCATACTAGAGGAGGCATAAATATCAATTAAATATTTTGCCATGCTTGCCCAAGGAAAAATGTCTCTTCTCTCTCCTCGTCGATCGTAAGCCTGAAACGTAAAGCGATAAATTCAACTTATAGACTTAACGCGCGACAGCCGTGAACTTATTCCGTGGGCTTTTCATACGATTTCAATGTGTCTCGAATGCGTATAAGATTCATGCGGATTTTTGACGAATTGAATACATCGCGCGTATGAGTGCTTCGTAGGTAGACGACTTCAATTTATACCACGTGTCTGGAATGTAAATCTGTGTGTATGCGTGACGCAAGCACGAGTCGATACACGCTGAAATTGCGCTTCACTAAGTGCTTCCAGCTGGTTTTCAATGAAGAAAATTTGAAAACACCAAGCTATGAGAATCATGAATCAGCTTACTCAATGCCATTTCTCAAACTTAAACCAAAATCACGGCACTATAAAAATAGCTTGGCAAAATCGCGCTTGGAGTCTTGCCCTCAAACGTCCTTGATTGATCACGCTCTAATCAGTTGTGAGGAGCGTCGAGAAATCGGCAGAGGAAATTCACAAGAAGGCATCGCGTAAGTTTGCTAAATTGCCGAGATCACTCGTTGAGGCAAAAGCCGAATGTAGATGTATTGTCAACGGGCGATCGGATACGCCAACTTTCCATCTTGATGCCAATACACATCGGTAAAAGCTCAACTACCCGTCATCCCTGTACCAAGATTTTAAGAGAAGCGATATGTCGAGCGCTAGAGCGATCGAAGCAGAAGTGAATGTATGCTCCTAGATGTGCTTATGAGTGAAACTAAGAGGGTATTGGTCAATGCCGTAGTGATTTGTACATGTAAATCAGCTCGTGACTAGATTGTTCGTGTCTTTCGAGCGTCGGAATTTGTTTTCAAATCACAGCCTGCATTCTAAATTGGCCTTAAACGCGCTTACGTTCTAATGGATTTCAAACCGTTTATATTAATGAAAATGGTTCGTATGCTTTGCATAACTATTGTGCAGTAGTCGTGCAAACGATTAATTTCATATAAATTTATGTGAACGACGCAACGTATATGCAATATTAAAATTCGACTCTTTAAATTATAGATTGTAAAGGATGAGTGAGAATGGTATGAACGAGCAAATTTACCATTGCAAGAGAATTCTTCTGGAAATACCTCGTAGAGGAAATTTCTTCTTGTTACAAGAGAATGTCGTCTAAAAGACGTTTGTGTCAGTTTCAGAAGAACACAATACCATTCTTGGTAACGTCAATAATGGGCTCCAAAATTCAATAATATTTGTAAAATTTGAAATTACCGGATGGGTATATCTCATAAGTATAGATCTGATGAAACAATCTGAATGTAAAGGTTCTTAGATTTTCGGTTGTATATCATTACATTCAGAAGGTGTGCGCAGCCTAATGCATGAAGCTAGGTATGCAGACATTGTTGGTCTATCGGCGCACGTCAAAGTGAGAAACCGTCGGTTTTGTTATAAAAACAGCTGCCTCTCCCAATAAGTATCAGTTATATGCATGTAATAGGCAGGTTGGGATTCCGTAGAGCACAAACAACCTATAACTGCGCGTACTTCGTTCCTTTTTGAGAATGCGGGCTTATATTATTTCTTCTCTCTCCCTAAGAAGAATGAAGAAAAAAAAAAACAAAAAAAAACAAAAGAAAAAACGGAAAAAAACGCCAAATCGCTTGAAAAATGCGCCTATACGTGTCAATAATTTTCTTCAAGCGGTGGCAAAAACATTACATTGTGAAACATCCTGAGAAAGACGCAGGCGCGTGCGAATTATTGAAATGATCTCTCGTGCTCCAAATGATACCATTTAAGTAGTCCAGAGAAAACACGAACCAACACCGACTATTGATATTAAAATTATCTCGCTGACCAAAACAGTATACGTATAATGAATGATATTTTCTGTGGGCAGAGAACTTTATGAAGTTTGTAAACAATATGTACGCAGCGGGTATATTTTTTTTTTTTAACTCGTAGGTAATTGACCGCGCGTGGGTAAAATAATGGATTGAATTATTCGAAATTTCAATGAAATTGAATAAATTACATTTCCGCGAAGCATAAATTTCGCTCGGCCCGTTACTTTGGGCTTCGCAATTGATGGACTTGGCGATGCTAACGGCGAATCAATATTTTTTCGAGCTTTCCGGAATATCAGCCGATAAATGTTGATTCGCGTGACGCCAACAAAGAATCATCTCGCAAGAGCCAAAATCAAGGGGAATGGGAATGGCAGATAGATGGGAATGTGCTACCTATTTTGCTGGCGATGTGAAGGATCGACGGCTCGCAAAAGGGAGCGACAACGCGACGATGACGTAAGGTAACAAAAGCTTCGATAGGAATCGTTCGAGTCGCGGCTCGAGCCTTATTTTTTTGTTTGGCAGCGCGCGCGATGTATTAGGCGCGTTATCATGTCGGTCGAGTAGGATACGCGACCTGCTTATAAATAAGCTGCCGAGCTGAGCGATGCAGTGCGCGTGCGAAAGCTGACTTCTCTCTGGCACGATCGCGTCTCGCGCGAGAACGAGACGCGGCTTGTATAGCTTTTTGCCACTTCGACCGGGTCGCAGTACCGCCGCCGGCTCTCTGCGGTCCCCATAAATGTCACTAAAGGCCACTGCGCTGCTGCTGCCGCCGCTGCCACTGCCGCTGCTGCTGCTCTTGCGACGCGCGACGTTTATTCTACTTAACCGTCGTTGTAGTACCGGTGATACGCTTCGTTTAATCTCGCCATTTCCGACTCTTCCCTCGGTGTATTGTTTCATTTTCAACATCATTTCCACAACTAATTTCATATCAACACTTCGATGTGCGTGGGCAATTTTTATTTCGCGGCTCAGTTCACCTTGTGGTTTATCGAGCTCCTGCCTTGTATTAATGTGTATGCCGCACAACATAGTTTCTCAGGATTACCTGTTTCGTTTGTGTGTAAAGCGATACGCGACTGCCTTCGGATTTGATAGCATATATATTTATAAAACATTCGATACGTCGATGTAAATTGATTGCCGTTTCATTTCATCATTACATATGTCTCTTCGCTTTATCGTTCATTTAGCTGATTCACACTATGATGTCTTTATAATTGCAACCAAATTTTTTTCCAATTAGTTCAATTTTCTTTGTAGAAATTATCAGTAAGCTTACGTATTTGCTAAAACAAAGATAACAATTACTGTTCATTCATCCGTACATTTCAAAACTTGATCAACTTCATTCTCAAATTTAATTCTTCCATAAAGTTAATCTCTAATAATTTGATCAAACTATTCTGTATCAAAGTAGATTAGTGTATGTTAATATAATACATACTCACGTCATGCTATTTAAACAATGTCTGTCAGTAAAGTAATTTGAAATAAATAATGGTAAGGTAACCAAAGCTTGAATAAATTTCTATGATAATCTATGATTCTAATTCAGAACAATTGACGTGAATAAAATCGTATTACACAGACTTATCTCTATTAATTATTTGTCTTTATTTAAACAACCATTACCTTAAAAGTCAATAAATCACTAGCATAGGCAAAGAATGTTACAACAGGTAAGATAGACTTGAAATGAAATTGGATCATGTTATTTCGCGGATTTGGACGTATCAAACAATCGTAGCTGGTTTACTAATCGGAAACATCGTTCTCGAAGAAGGTTTACGCGTACAGACGATGTATACGACAACATGATGGTACAAGCACACGTGTTTGGCAAAGTTAAGAAGGAGAGAGGGAGAGAGAGAAAGAGAGAGGAAGAAAGGGGAAGAAGGAAAGTTTATATGGGGACCATTGTAAAATTAGCGACGGGACACAATGCCGGCGTCGCGACGTCTGGGGTTCGCAAGCGAAGCCGCGACCCCTGTTCTAAATTGGGACTCTCACTCGTATGAGAGAGTACCACGACTAGTGCGATGAATCAGTGCATTGATAAAAAGCCAGAGTTTCTCGGATCACTTGAATTCTCATAGTCGCTAGAAAAACATCTCTAAATTCGTCGATGCCACTTGATTTCGCGCACGATTTAACTTCGAATTGCGTTTCCAATGCGTGTCCTCTTTTTCAATCTTGGCCTAATGGGTCGTCAACCTTTCGATCACGTAATTACGAATTGAGCGGCCAATTCCTCCAGCAAAAATTGCGCAACAATTTAAAAAGATTTCTAGTTCAACGCTCGACGAACTCGCTACTCAGGTGGCAATAAATTTAGGTGTGAATGACTCTCTTGGTATTTTGCCAGCTTCCCTCTATGTTTCTAATTTATCAGGAAATTGCCAGCGATACACAGTTTATTCAGCGCTAACTGATCTCTGATAGGTTTTATCGTTCGTCTCATAAATAACTGATTTCTCTGTAGAATTTTTCAACAGCAGCTATACGAAAACAGTTCTTTAAAAAAATGTAATATTTCGAATTCAAATGTAACACGGTGTACCATCTACTTAATAGCAGTAGGAGAAAGAAAAGCGACGCAGTAAAATTCGCTCGAAAGATATCAGCTAATGAAATCGTTCGCAGTCTAACGATAACCTATTGCTACACACGATAAAGCCACTGAAAAAAAAAATTCGTGGCAGTAAAAGGCAAGCTTTAAAATTTAATGAGATACGAAGACGCCGAAGGTGCCGAGCACGCGAGCGAATAGGACAACACTATCTAACGGCAGAAATCAGCCCAATAAACTGAAAAAAGAAAAAAAGAGAAAGAAAGAATCGCGCGAACGCGCATTAACCAAATGGGATACTTAGGTTGAGGCGTATATAATGACAGCGCGGTGGCGAGTGCGCACGCGAACTAAACCGAATCTCCCGCACAAACGTCGATGACGGACAGGTGACAAGGCGTCGAGTCGCGTTCTGCGCCGCCCTCTAGACAAGAAAAATAGTGGAGCGAAGCGCACCACGAGGCTGCAGAGGAGAGAGCCATGAGAGCCGATCCGTCGTCGCGTGGAGTTTTGCTTGCGCAGCTTCTTTTTTTTATTTTTTGTTTGGCTGGCTGTTCTCGCGTTATTCCGCGCGCGCCGCACGCGCGGCAGCGAGCGACGCGGCGGCTACCTCACTAATTGACGGCATAAATTTTCAGATTTGTTTGTTTATGCCGCCGAGGAGGATTGAGTTATTGAGAAGCCACAGAGCAATTGTTGAAGAAGAGTCGATGATGACGATAATGAGCGCATAGTGCGTTCGTGTGTGCAGGATGCGTTTCGCAAACAAGGTGTACGAATTACTTTCTATGCATCATTGCGAGAGGGCAAGAGAGCAAATTATAGAGCAGTTTTACATAATAAGCAATAGCAGCTTGTCAAGATGAATATAATGAATGCTTGGTGGCGGCAAAAAGGTGCTAGCTGGAAGTTGCGCACGGGAAGCGCTAAACTTTCATAATAATCGAGTAATTAGTATTGGACTTTTGAATCGAGGCGGCGATGGCTTTTATCATTATAATTTCGAAATTTACCATTCCAGATTTGAAGAATGTACCTACAATAGAGAGAGAGAGAGAGAGACTTTTGCCATGCGATCTTTATAGAATGGTCCGTGACTTCATAGGGCCCAAAGAAGGAACTCACACTGCCACGGGATTCTTTTCTCGGGCGAGTATCACGTGCCTCCCCTCTCTCGCTCTCCTCCGCCGGTTTATTAAACAGTCGATGCAGGAAAAAGCAGCCCAAAAGCACGTGGCGGACTATTCTGTTCTGGCACGACGCCCGAGCCGCACTTTGCATTCTTCATTGCAGTGTACCACATCGAGATGCATATACTTAGCTTTCCACTCGCATAAGGAGAGTACGAACGTGCACTAAGGATCACTCATTGTCGCACTGGTGCGCGCGGCTACTGGTTTTTGTCTTACGTAATTCTCCCCCATCTTCTCGTGCTTTGGAAAAAAAAACACACACACACACACACAACCGTGACATTGGCTAGAGAGGCTCCATATATATTGCTGATTTTTGATATTTATTTAGTAGTTTTTTTTCGCTCGTTTGCCTTGTTGACGTTAAAAATGACAAAGTTGTGTTAATTGGAGAGACGCCCGTTTGACTCGCAGTGCGCGTAAATGCCAAAGGAAAGTCAACAAAATATTTCTCCACATTCAACGAATGTTGATTGACAAAACAGCACGACGTTTCGTGGGAATTTCGTTGGCGTTTAAAATATTTGGAGAATAATATTATATGGCAGTGACTCATTGCTCTGCTGCGTGAGAAGCTCAATTATTGCAACAACAGGACGATTATTTGCACTATAATAACTGTTAATAATCCTTGAATAATTTCGGATAAACTTTCTGCGAACTCTATTGTTTTGTTGCAAATGCTATGTAGGTTGACAATTAAATGCTCACCTTCTGAAATGACTGGTTGTGGAAAGTCTGAGCGGAAAACATTGTAAAACTTGTAAGTGCGTACCAGAAAATTGTTTACGCGACTGACGTCTGAGAATGTACTTACAACGAAGAACTTGGTTAGTGAATGAAAAAATGTTTAGCTCGCTGGTTAGAAATGTCGATTAGTCTTTCGATGCTTGCGGTCAGAGGAATTAGCGCGGAGGCCACCGCGAGCGATTAGACGAACGAGTGCGAAAGAACAGGCGCGGACGAAAAAGAATGCGGACAATAAGCGAGCCCGTGAAAAGCGAAGCGAGAGAGGTGAAAAGAAAGGTAGCTGCGAAGAGAGCGCTCACTGAGACATATCGTTGGGCTTGAGGGTGGCCCTGATTTGAAACTCCGGCTGCAGCACCCCGGTCCGATTGAACTCCTCGGCCCTGGACAGTCTCTCGGCAGCGGGTCTCGCGCTGGCGTGTCCGCCGAGGCTGCTGGCCATCCTTCGCTCGAGCGGGTTGTCGTCGGGCGCCGAGCGCGCGGCCACGGCGAAGAGAGCCGCGAGCAGCAACGACTCCGGCACTATCCTGCAGCAGCACATGCCTGTTGTTGTTCAACACACGCACGCACGCGCCAACCAAACGGTCCGTCGCTCGGAGTTCGACTGTGCAGGCTGAACCTTGGTTGGCAGCCCGAACGCCGAGAGAGAGAGAGAGAGAGAGAGAGAGAGAGAGAGAGAGAGAAGTCCTCCCCCTTCTTTTCCTTTCGCACGCGCGTTATATGGCGGCTCCTCTTTTTCTTTCGCGCACGCACACACACGTACTCACGGGAGGAAGAGAGCGCCAACCCCAACTCGCTGCGAGCGCGCCTCCTTCGTCCCTCCCGCCTTTGCGCTTGATTTTTATCCGCGCTTATTGCAGCTGCCAATGGACTCGCGATATTGCCTCCTCAAACGTATTGCGCCCGCTTGGACGCATCTTGCACATATATTGCGCTTACAAGGCTTTTCGATTGGCAAGCTCGTCATGCTTACGATCGTCGAGATGCTTATTTCGATGGAGCGACCTTCGATACGCGAGCCTATTTCCGCTACCAATGAACGTTTCATTTCGCTGCGGATACATTTGATGTAGTCGGCAAGATAATTGCTTTCCTCTCGGTTCACTTTCGCCAGCCAAGACGTCTGATTAACGGCTTCGATTTTCTGTTTCGCCTTGGCTGCAAGCCGTTCGCCAATACGTTTTAAAACGCTGCAGACACGCGCGCTCGGACGCCAATCCGAGAGCGCTTTGACAAGTGTCAAACGAGCTCGCGAACGAAGAGCCAACGACAGGCGAAAAAAAAAAAAAAAAGAAAAAAAAAACGAGCCGAAGGATAGGTTCATCAAAAGGACGTCCTCGAAATTGCAGAAACATCCCGAGAACGAGAAACAATAGCCGTGTGGCGAGGCAAAAGGAGTTGTCAAAGAAACCGCGAAAGAGAAGCGCATCGCAATAGCCGTTGGAACGCGTGTGGCGGAGCGCGTGGAATACGGAATAGCTTCTAAATAGTTTAATACGCATCAGCATAATCTCTGCCGTTCTTTCCGCGAGCAAATTATACGAGCCGCTCGCGCATGCGAGCACGGAAGCCCAAAGTCTCACCTAAAATTCTCGGCCCGGCATGAGGGGGAAAGAGGGGGGGGGGGCGAGCCTTCAGATAATCTCACGTTATCACGCGAAGAGCGATAAATCGGAGAACCGCTTCGGATTGCGTCAAGCTGACTCGACCGATTCCAAACTTGATTCTGCACTCCGACGGATGCGACATTACGCTCAGATTAGCTCTCATGATTGTTCATCTTACATAATTGTTTGCGTCAAAATGCTCACCGGATCCGTTTTTCTCTCGTTTTGCCACTTATTTTTTCCCTTCCAGGAAACTCGGTGTACATCGACGTCTAACGCCTGCAAGTTTTATTGCTTGAACTTATTATAACTACGTGATTGATCATTTTCCTATAAAAGCATAACTACCCGAGGGAATCTGGTATCTAAGCTTTAAAATAAAACGTTGCAATTTAAAAAAGTACAGCGAGGTAACGCCTGTTCAAAACGTTGTTGAGCCTCCGATCGTGGACAGTTGAGGAATATGAATACGAATATATTGCATTGAATTGTAGCGTATCCACTGAAGAATTAACTTGTAATGCAAGCGACAAAATCTCATGAAGCACATCGGAATGTCGGCCTGAATCCGGTAATAATGCTAAAGCATCGTTCTCGAAAAAGAGTCGTCGGGAAGGAAGAAAAATGCAAAGGGTCGGAGCATTTGCGAGCACAAGTCGACGCAAGATTTCGCAACGACACCATCGAAGAGCGAAAGAAGAAAAAGAAGAAAAGGCGAGAGTAACTGGGTAAACAAGCATCGATGAAGCGAGCGCGCGGAGTCGCGGCGAGGATGGTCTTTGTTCGAATCAACTTTCCGCTCTAATTCAGTGCGCGCAAAGTCAGCGGGGAGAGCGCGGTGCAGGCGCGAAAATGAGAATGCGAGGAGCTGGGCCGGATAGAGAGGGCATTGATTTGGTCTTAGCGTCGACAAGTAAGCGCGTCGCGTCGTTTCTTTTATCCGCGCGCGGAGCCGAGAGGCAACACAGTCGGAAATTCATCGCGCTTATTTCGGAGAACGAATTCTCGTGCGGTGCAGAGGCTATACGGGCACGGAGGCGGACATCGTCGCTATTTCCGTCCTATTCGCTCTCCTCTCTCTCTCTCTTTCTCTCGTTCGCCGTCGAGTCGAATGAACACCTTGAAGTGGTCCGTCGCGATCAGAATGCGTGCACGTGTTTGCGCCAAAAGCGACTTGTTGTTTTCCTTCCCGTCGCCCGTCGCCCGCCGCCCGCCGCCCGGACATACATCAAGCCCCGGTATTATGTACTTATATATTGCAAGCTGCGGCTACGTGCCGCCGCTGCTGATTAAGTAGTTAGGTTGTCTTGCGGTCAGACCTTGTTGCACCGTCGCGCACGGCCACTTACCGCTGCATTCTTCTCCTCGTCCTGCACTTGCAATGTTAATATGCTCTATCGTGTTAATATTCCAGCGTACAAATCAGTCGACTCGCAAGTTCCGAAAATTTCGTTCGCGTCGTACCCGTCCATTTCTCAAATAGGTCGAATGCAACTAAGTCGACCACAGTGTTCTTTGAATAAGTTGCTTCCGAACTGTTTATGACCTAAAAAACATGCATTTTAAGCTAGAATTATTCAATGTATATTTCGAGGAAATGCAGTCGTTAGATTGTACGACATGCTGCAATACTGCACTATCGCTAAAGCTCCAATTTTCAGATTAGAATTCTTCGTAACTATTTGAATTGGTGTCGCGACCCATTCTGCTGCAAATAATAATTGTGCATTGTCTATTATTTTCTACATACCTCTGAGTTTGCGTTTTTGTTTGAGATACTTATTACAAATGAGAAACTTGATCGAAACAACATTCGGCTTATTAACGCAATGACAAAAAAAGCTAACCAGTGCGGGTAAAACAATTGTTGTATCGCGTGAGGCTTTCGCCCGAGCATAACGAGGCTGGACTGGCGCACGAGACGACAATCTCATTGCCGAACACGCTGGCTACAGTTTATTTATTTATTTCTCTCTCGTTCAAAACGACGCGCGGAAAGCACCAATCGAAGTGCGCGTTTTTCGCCAAGCCTGCGGCACATTCGTACTTTCCGCACGGCGTGTTGAAAAAAACTCAACCGACCGGGCATTCAACTTTGCCGTGTTGACCTTTTTTTCATCGCGCGTGCTCGCGTTCTCAATGCTCTATTTAATTGTAAATGCTCGTACAGCATACGCAGATTTGACTTGAGATATCTATAGGACACATTTGGCAGCGAGCACTCATTCCAAAGACAGCAACGTTGAATTTGAAAAAAAAACGCAGGCTTTTTCCTATAAAAATGTACATCGCGAAGGAATAACTGTTTACTCGTTATTTACCTAATGCTTAGCAGTCAGTCACCAGGTTGAAAGTGGAAAGTTTATCACCTTGATGTAATTGATGTTTTAAAGTTGTTGTTATTAAAACACGAGTATTCTGCTAATTGTTAAGATATAGTCTCGTAGTATTTATTATATAGTCAGCAAGTACCTCGATTATCGGCTAAATGTTTTCATAGTAAATATTCAAAGCTCCGCGCATATGCGTTCAATAAATCTTGCAACGATTTATCACCTTACCTTCCTTAATGAAAAAAAGCACTTTTAATCATACATAAATCTCTTTTCATTTGCAGGTTTCAATAATGTTAACAACATTTTCTCGAAAGAAACTGGCAACAGTGGATTTCTTCTTTTCACGATCGAGAGTCAAGACAAGCACGCGTAGACTTATTTTTTATTAGAAAAGAAAAAGAGATCGGCTTCGTTCCAAGACACGATGTCCAATTATTACGTAGCTAGATATTTTATTTTCGATATGTGAATTAAAATAAAAGTAAAAAGCAAACTAGCACCTAGGTAACAACTTGCGCACGCAGTAAGATACAGTAATCGAATGATTAATTTTTATAGCCCACCATGCAGTATCACAATTTTGCGCCAGAGAACCGACAATTTCTATTCCCGAACAAATGGAATGATTACACATCGCGTTCGGCTGGCTCCGCTGGTGAAGAAAAGAGAAGGGAAATAATAAGGATTGAGCGCAAGACTGCAGCCAGGCAGGCCAGAAAGAGAGAGAGAGAGAGAGAGAGAGAGAGAGAGAGAGAGAGAGAGAGAGAGAGAGAGAGAGAGGCACCGAATTAAGCGCGATCCTCGCAAATCGATCGATCGGTCCGCCCTTGGGGCGGCAGTGGCTTCTCTTTTACTCGCTAACGGTAAATTCAGCGCTCATGCAAATAAACATGAAAGAGCGGCAGACTGAGAAAGAGACTGAAGGGGGTTTAGTTAGGCCGAGTGAGAATCGAGCCCTTGTTTTTGCCCGCGCGCGCGCGCGTGTGTTGTCGAGCTGCAGCGCGCAGAGAGGAAGGAAGGAAAGTAAAAAAAAAAATGAAAAAAAGTTGCAAGCGTACACACTCCTCTCGGCGCTTGTATACACACACGCATGTCCGTTTCGCTTGGAAGTCGCTAAACAAAAGCCGCGCGAGCCGCCGTCGCTGCCGCCGTCGCCGCCGCTGCTGGCCGAACGATCGCCAACGGCTAGCATAGTAGCTAATTCGAGGATCGTAAAGGGTTTGCCCTCGGGCGGCCCGACAGCTCTCTCATATTTATATACACATATATATTGCGAGAGCGAGAGAGTGCGAGCGGAGCGTAGGATTTCCCATTCGTGAGAGAGGAATTTTGGCAAGCTCTCGTTATGGCAGCTGAAAGAGAGAGAGAGAGAGAGAGAGAGAGAGAGAGTGAGAGAGAGAGAGACGCCGCCGAAAAGAAAACGTTTAATTAAGAAAACGTTTAAAAGAGCCGAGCGCCAGCAAAAAGACGGACCGTCGAGCGTAAACGGCAGAGAGAAAGAGAGCGCAAGAGTAAGGGAGGGAGGGGGGGGGGCAGCGGCCCTATATACTTTTCGATGCGCACGAGCGAGAGATAGAGCCTTTATCCTGAAGTATGTAAATTCCCAAATATCTCAGGCGCGCGCTTCCATTTTTCTACCT